TTTAATTGTATAATAAGCCGATCCTATAGCTACTCATGCTCACTCTCCTTGCATTCCATTGGATAGTTCGCACTGATGTTTGTATATATATATATATATATATATATATATTCACATCTTTCTCATTTTTTATCTATTCGTGTATATGCTTGATAACGACTTGTGAAACCTTGTTGAAACGTCGCAATGAAATATTGTTATCCATAAAAGTGTGTTTTTGATTTTGGTTTTTGAATTATAAGGGCTTTTTACATTTTAAGATGATTACAGTGACGTAGCATGGATTTTCACTTTTGGAGTCACCACACGAGTAGTCATAATTCCGGTCTAGTTTACGGGTTTCACTTTCATAAATCAGTATTTTGGAGACATTTCAGTGGTTTTAACCAGGTTAAGCAAACAACCCCATTTAAGTCGTTATGAATGTAAAAAATGTGTGTTTCCGGTAATTAAACCTGACAATACGACAATCAAAGCACTTAGAAATAGCGAATATTACATAATTCAAAAGCGGTCATTTTAAATCTAAAATGGAGGTCAGATCGCATAAGTCTGGCACATATTATTCGAACGATAACATCCACATCATGTATGCCATTCTCATGCTTGCCAAAAGGTGAACGATTTTACACCTAAGCGACCTAGTTATTTGTATTATAAGGTTGATTTTTATTTTATTAAAGGATACCGACTCTTTACTTTGTTCTTTTATTTATTTTATCTAATCACAAAAAAGATTGCATTTTGTGTTATTGCTAAATACAGCACCCAACAACTCCAAAGGCCCTGGCAAAACAGATAGACAAAGTATTACAGGACCGTCCCCAAATCATTTCGGATAAAATACATGACGTATAAATTTAACTTATGGTATGCTAGTTTCCCACTGTCGTGCGATGCGTTACGATAGCGTTGTCCCTAATGTGTCCAGGATCTGGCACGTGAAGATACGTTCGGGTACGTTTCGATATGATCAACACGGTTGCCAAGACTGACCTCAATATATACCTCGTAGGATCACCACGATTACCCCAGGATTAAAAGCTCAATACCACCTTTGTTGTAACTGAATAATATGTCCCAATCTTTATTCTGGTCAACAAATTGTACTATTTTACAATATTCCAATTAATTGATGATACAAATTTCATCTTGACACACCTAATTTAAAAAAATTAGAAAAATTCAACTAAATGATTTGAAAAGCCTGACGTAATTATAAAGCTTTTCAAATGTGACTTGGATTTAAAAATATTTTTGAACCCTCTGGACAAGTAAAATAGGATTTAATGGATAATTTACACAACAGGTAGGACACTAACACATCTAGTACTTAGAATAAGGCTAATTCTTTTATTTTCTGGAGCTGTCAAGCCAGCAAGAGTGTTATTGTCCCTTTAAAACCACGACTTAAAATGTAGCGCGAATCATGATAGTGGGAACCTAGCATTTACTAGATTTCTCTTTGTACGCGAAGTCACATTGTTTAAAGGTTAAAGGGGACGGGTGGATTGATATGTAAAATAAAAATGTAACTGGTTATTAAACGTGAGGACTGTGTAAATATACCTCAAAATCTTCTTTATGTATGCTATCAATGACATTAAAACGTACCCATACACCAATCTCCCGTCAAAAGGCAAAACCTAGTAACTCACTTTTTTCTTATTTTGAGAAAACATAGGAAAACGTAATGAATGAATATTAAACCCCAGCTCATCCATTGATTTGACTATTGAGTTACTAGGTTTTGCTGTGGTATACTAGGCAAATGAAGGAAGATGCTAGGTTGTGTCATGGGTGTAACTGCTTACAAAATCAAAAGATTGGAATATCTAGTACAACAACAGGAAGCACATACAACAGTGAGTTACTAGGTTTTGCCTTTTGACGGGAGCAATGCACAAGGGGCTCGTTTAAGCCAATGATGTGTTCAGGACAAAAATCCGTGTTTAAATGAATGTAATTTGCATATTATTGTTTCTTAGGGTAGATGACTGTGGTCAAAAAATTAAATTTATTTATATGCTAGCAGTTATAACTCTATCATCCTTAATATCATATTCTAGTTCAGGTAAGTAGTAATATTCAACTTGTTTTAGCATTTATATAGGATTATAAATTCTAGTTTAAGGTAATCAGTAATCATTAACATATAGTATGTATTTATAATTATTGATTCTAGTTTAGGTAATTAGTATTAAAATTACAATTTCAAATTTTCTAAGAAAGTCAAAACATAATTATTTCTATGGTATTTGCTCAATAGGTTGTCAACTCACTATTATACGATCATAGGTTATCTTTCTCACACTTAAAAATCTTCACTCCGGAAATAATAACACAATTACCTCCCAATTACCTCCCTTGTTTTCCTATTCCCCACCATGGAATAGCTATCTTCAAACGTTTGAATTTGAAGTTGAAAATGATATTTTTGCCAATTTCTCAACTAGCAATAGTGAATTTTAGGATTAATAGGATTATTCTTTAACAAGGTAAGACTGTTTATAGATACCATCTATTTTAGGGCTTTATTTTAATACATTTTAAAAATATAACGTAAAAAAATGAAATTGTAACTTTAAATAAAATAAAACCAAGTACGAACAATCCAAACCATAAGACAGAATTCGAAGTCCTAAAAAACGTTATAGGCAAAATAGTGTATTAAAGCAAAATAGTGTAATCAGCAAATGGACTGCTCCTCGTGTACAAAATACACGACAAACAGTGGTAACAGGTGTCCGGAAGAGTAAGCTTACCCTCCACCCCTGACAAGTGAGAGCCAGGCCAGAAAATCCAGATGCAATTTCTAGGCCTATACTCCGGATCTCCCAGGTTAGAACTGTGTCTTGTCTGTCATACCTATCAAAATTAATTGAGAAAGTTATATCCACCAGGATAAAACACCATTGTCTTATTAACAATCTTGACGAACAATTTCAATGCAAGAAGGGTCACAGCACGGAAACAGCGCTGCTGAGAGTATATAACGATATTGTTACTAATATAGATGATAGACAGTCTGTCGTATTAGTGTTACTAAATTTAAGTGCCGCTTTTGATACTATTGATCATGGTGTTCTATTAAACCGGTTACAAACACGTTTTGGCGTTGATGAACTATGTTGGAAATGGATACGATCTTATCTGACAGACAGGTGACATTATGCAATCATGGATAATGCAACATCGTCTCCAAAAACCAAACTCTTTGGAATTCCGCAAGAGTCGGTTCTTTGTCCTCTTTTATTCGCTGCCTATACAACACCAATTCGCGATATCATCCGAAAACCTGGAATTAACTTTCAGCTTTACCTTGACGACACACAAGTATATCTTGCTTTGAAACCACTGAACTCTGTTAACGTGAGGCGTGTATAAATGATGAAAAGACAGAGGTCATGTTGATCAGCAGAAAATCGCTTTCTCGATCGGTGATTCAGCAATAACATCCTCACAATCATTTTAAAATCTTGGAGTTTACTTTGATCAAGATCTTAAAATGAAAAGCTACATCTCTACCATTTGCAAGTCGTCAAATTTTCATATATACAACACTGGTAAACTTCGACCATTTATAGCGTCAGATATCTCTAAAAATGTTAATTAACGCTTTTGTTCTCTCCAGAATAGATTATTGCAATTCACTTCTATACCATTTACCATCATCAGATATCCACTAAACAATCAGAATACAATCTGTAACTAAATAATCTAAACACATTACTCCAGTACTTCAAAACCTTCGTTGGCTACCAGTTTATCAACAAATTAATTGTAAGATTGGCGTTTTAACTATTAATTGTCTAAATAATAGCTGTTCTCCACAGTATCTTGAGTTGGTCCTTCACACTATAATAGTTAAAACCTACATGATGTAAAGGTGATTTGCTGAAAATTTCAGTCAAATTGATCCACTTTGAACCGAGAATTAAGCAAAGTCGGTACGATAAAAACATAGTCTCGATTATCCACTTCATTATTAAATCAAAAATGGAAGTAGAACAGCAAATCGGATCATAATCCAATAAATATCGCAGGCTAGCATTGACATCGGGAGTTGATTATACTCTAGATAAGTTAATTAATGTCTAATTAATAATTTAGATAACATGTTAGGCCTAAAGAAAGACCTGCAATAGGCAGATTAAGCTCTTGCATAATGTATGTTTAATGAACTTTTAACACCGTATAAACAATGTAGGAACCTGCGCTTTGCTGATAAAAACTTATGTCGTGTTACAGTAAAACCTAAAATTGGTGAACGGGCATTTTTTGGCGCATCTACTAACGAGTGGAATGAATTACCTTGTCATGTAAAAAAAACCACTCTACCAATGTTGCTGTTTTTAAACAGAATCTTAAAACTCAACTTTTTAAACGTGCTTTTAAACTATGAACATGTTGACATTTTAATGTTTTAGACCATTGTATGTATTTGGAATGTAAATATATTATGATTATTGTACGATCAAACAAAGAATTATAGACTGTATCATTATTATTACTGTCTATCTAGTTAACGGTTAACATAATAAGGTTAGTTCATGTGTCATTGGTTAGAGTATCTTAAATATTATTCACTTCTCTTGCATTCAAAATTTACTCACGAATCAATCAAATATATGATTAGAAACACACTGTAAAAGGATGTTTATCACTCCAATTACAACATATCTTTAAAAATTGCAAATGCTCATGTTTGTGTACAGTATATATTTATAAAACGAAAATACGGAAGAGTTGAGCACCGTATAAGTGATCTAAGAATCGAACTGTTGTCGGGAGTAACATTTTGTGGATTTATGATTTGTTTTAATATGTTTTGTTTATTTCATGTAGATTATGGTAAATGTAGTAAACTTAAACTATACATATTTGTTGGGGTTTTTTTGTTTTTTTTGTTTGTTTTTTTTTGGGGGGGGGGGGGTTGTGGATGACCCAATATAACCGTATATAATCGTGTAATCATTCCAGCATTAGATGTATGTAGAGATACCATCAACACTAACTGTCAATCATGTGGTAATACTGTATATCCTATAGATGAGTTTTATAGAGAGAACTGTATGAAGTCATGTGGTGTTTGTACAGGTAATACTTGTTTTATTTGATTGGATGATTTAAACATATATAGCTTCGGAGTCGTAGTAGGTACTATTATATAAACAGAGTCGTTGCCTCAGGCTTTTAGTAAGGACACGCGGGCTAAATTACTTCTGTTAAGAAATAATAAACCAAGGCACACCCAACATGTACATAGACGATATTGCGGATCATTATAATAAAGTGTATTCACACACTTATGCGTTATTAAAATGCCTTTCTCTATTTTAAAATATATATATATATATGTGTGTGATGAAATCAACATCAAGTTTCTTTCAAGGGACAATTGGGATATATTTCACAGGAGAGTTTACCGCGAATGTTTTCCCTTTTTGGTCGTGGTTTGCGGGCGTGGTTGAACGATTCTATTTTAGACAACGTAACAAAATATGCGTTGTTCCTTACCAAAACTCCAATATTCGTTTTTAAACAGATGCATTTACCAATATATTATATCCCTTTAAACAGCTACTCCCACGAATGTTGCTCTTGGTCAACAATTTGTACAGCAGAGTTCTACAAAATATGGGGGTAATGCTTCTAGAGCTGTAGATGGTGATACTAATAGTGATTTTGTTAATAGTGGTGGATCATGTACTCATACAATAGAAAGACAGTCTGGTTGGTGGTGTGTTGATTTACAACAGTTGTATTATTTCAACCAAATTAAAATATATAACAGACAAGACACGAGGTGTAAGTATATATTAACAGATACATTATGACCTAACGGTGTGAAGAGTTATTGTTTCCGTAGTCGTGCTGACGGAGAACAGGCAACATCACGAGGACTTACTTTGTTCAATCTATCGATCAGACACTTTTATATAATTGCAAAATAATGTTCCGTGATATATCTTTTATTATACACGTGACATGTTTTATAGTTGTAGTAGTGGCAGCTTGTATATTCGTGTTTAGTATTTTGTCTACCGATTAAGACCGTTAAATTTCCTTTAAATGTTGCTAAACAAGAATGGTTTTCTCTGAATTCCACTTGTCATTGTGATCGATTGCAGTAGCGGCTTTATAGTTAATATATCATGTTTATTTTCAGGGTTTGGTTGTGCTTTATATTTTTAGAGTTTGGTTGTGCGTTTTATTTAAATTATATTATTTGTTTGTTTTTAGGGTGGAGTAGGTTACAGGGATTTGAGATAAGGACAGGTTTTGGCGGCCAATGTAATCAAACAGGATTTCAATCCTCTACATCATGTTTTAAGGATACAACATCAACAATACAGTCTGTTTATACTGTAACAGGATGTAATCAAGGTTCATCTACATCATTTTCTGGTAGAACTGCCTATGTGTCAAGCCGTAACGACTCCTTAACATTGTGTGAAGTTGAAATATTTTCAGGTATATTACGTTATTCCCGTGATGCAATTACTAACGTCATTTTGGAATGTTTTTAAACAGGTTTTTCATTTATATGATCTATATTAGATCTAGTACAATGTGATACTATATTTCATCTATATTACAGATCTAGCACAATGTAATACTGGTTACTACAGTACATCAAGATATACATGTCAACCATGTAATACCTGCCGTGGCGACAGCTGTGATTCTACTACTGGTGTTTGTACTAGAGATTGTAAAACAGGTTTTTATGGTACAAAACGTCAACAGAACTGTGGTAATGGTTGTTTAAACAATCAATGTTCTAAATCTGATGGTAAATGTAATGACTGTAAACCTGATACAGTTGGTCCATACTGTAACCTAACATGTGGTATAGAATGTCAACCAAGCCCAGACCAGACCAGTGTTACTTGTGATAGAAATGGTTTATGCACTAACTGTATTATTGGAAGATATGGTGATAGATGTGATATGAACTGTAGTGAAGTATGTGCCTGTGGATGTTATAGGAATGTTGGGAAATGTACATGTTGTATTGCAGGTAAACGAAGATTTATGTCGAAAAAGAAATATTTCCGAATAAGGCAATAACGTTTGAAATAACACATTAAATTTTGAGTTAGCAAAATACTATCGCGATAAACCGAAAGAAGACGATGGTATTATCTTTAATAAAATTATAAACGGATATATGCGATGTATGTTATGGGTGCTATATATGACATAATGATCGCAGTAGCTATTACCCAGTCTTTAGTATTTTTAAAGGACAATATTGGTGTCAATCATTATCACATATGTGATAGAACTGGTTAAACACGTTCCAAATATAATTTTAACACTGAGATCATTGCTACGATAGATGCGTAATGCAGGTTTCAACACTCGGAAGTGATGAACGCAAAAGTAAAACACGAGTTTTCCCTCTTTATAACTGACTGAAGCGACGAGTGATAACATATACATAGGCGAATTTATTCCTGTTCACTAATAATTCCTTCGAAGACCAAAAGTTATTGTGTGAGACTGTGAGAGGATATCTGACAATCCATAAAAAGAATTGACTGCCACTAGATAAGAGAACACGAAAGAACAATAAAAAAAAGTCCGTGCATTACCAGGTTTTTATTAAGTATAGAATGAATAAAAACAAGGAATGCACGGACTATTTCTAATTTTCTCTTGTTCTCTTATCCAATGACATTCAATTACCTTTTTGAATTGTCAGATATCTTCTTACAGTCTCTTATAACAACTTTTGATCTTCGAAGGAATTATTAGTGAGCAGAAATTCGTCCATGTATATATCACTCGTCACTTCACTCAGTTATATAGAGGGATAACTCGTGTTTTCATTTTGCGTTCGTCACTTCCGATTATTGAAACCTTCATTACGCATCTATCGTAGCAAGGATCTCTGTGTTAAAATTATATTTGGAACGTGTTTAACCAATTCTATCACACGTGATAATGACTGACACCAATATTGTCCTTTAACCTTGCGTACAATAATGTACAATATTTGAATAAACAAGTACAACATTAAGATAACGAAATAACACTATGACATTATCTTTAACAGATGGTTTAGGTCTAGGTGAATGTACAACAATAAGTCGTGTGGTATATGTTGCAATTGGTGTTCTATGTGGTATACTTGGTTCGTTAACTGCCTTCCTGTCATGTCATCTCTACAAGAAACGGTAACATGTATTATTTATCGTTATCTTCCCTATAACAGTTTAACAACGAAACCCATGCTTTGCATATTATGATAGTGTTTGGGCTATGCACTTCAAAGTAGTCTGTTCACTGTGAATTATTCAGAATGAATATTGTTCATTGGTATTTCGCGTTGCTGTGATTTATATACCAACTAGAAGAATGCCCGGCTTCTCTCGGGGGTCATAACCCCGAAACCGGAAGTGGTAGACTAACGCCACCTGGCCTATGTTACTCCCCGGTCCGAGCTACCCCTATACCCCAAATTTCAGACTCGGGGCAGACCTACAATCTGTTTCACAGAGAATTACGAGTCTAGTGATATATCTCTGTCAAAGATGACTGCCTTAACACGTGCTGTCACAGCACGCGGCGTCAATCATTGGCTGAATGGCGCGTGCATTGTTTACATAAGACGTTACTGCTTCGGAGAGAATGCTGCATTTTAGTCATTTTAATACCCATTTACACTAAATAGGAAATAAATTTTACCTACAAATACGTCAAACGCCTTTATTTATTTTTCCAATACATAAAAAAAAATGTTTTAGAATTTAATTTGTCGCAGGAAAAAAGTTAATATTTCTGGCTCATTAAGCCGCATCGATGTCATCCTTATCAGTGATTGTAGCGGCCTAGCAAATATTCACTGCGGATCAGTGTGGCGGACCTAGTGTAGCCGCCAACCCCGAACAGACAGACAAACAGACAGACAGACAAACGACAGTCACAAATATTAGTATAGATATGGCAAAATGAAAGACGCGTGTATTTAGTTAATAACAAAAAGTCGCACAAGTTCGTTGATATTTTGTATGATGTCCTAACCTAGACAGGCCTGACATGGATCATACAATAGCGTACTTAGGCCTGTTGTATCCTATGCTGAAAAGTATTTTTTATATACGTCACTATTTTGATAAACGATGCAATACTGTTGAATTTAAAAGTTGCTTAATAATCGCCGCCAGTTCTGACTGTGGGGAAGAATAGATTTTCGTATAAATATTTTCAGGTGTGACGCATGTGAGCACAAGGGAGTCACTGTTCCTGATTATATTTACAGTAATACAGATTTGAACCCGCCTAGTTCTACATCAGATGATGCAGTAACCACTGCATATCAAAATATTCCAACTAATACACGTAATGTAGAATATGAAAACCAGTCGTTTAATACAGAAGACAATACGATAAATATGTACGATACATTAGATCACACATCAGACGATACGCCAAATACATATACATCTATCAAATAGGTATAATACTGTATATTGTATATAGAATAGATGCAATAATGTATACTGTACATGTATGATATATTAGATTATACATTAGATAATACATGTAAAGATAATCAAACATTCTAACATAATCAAATAGATGTAATAATTCAATTGTATATGAGACATATGTATGATACATTAAACCACACATTAGATAATAAATGGAATGGGGTGTAACTTCCGGATTTTAAATTGCATCCGGGGTATTAAAGACGGGCAGATGCATCTATAGATTTCAACAAAATCAAATAGAAATTTTAATAAAACATGATATATTGAGTTAAATTTAATACTTTTATATAATGTTCATATAATATGAAGATAAATTGTTTAACTTCCCATGCATTAAAAATTCTCTTGAAGGCATTTATCATAACAATCCATGCTTATATATCTAAAGATGAATATTTTGTAAACATTATTCTATATTATGTTTATAACGTTATTAATAATCAATAATTGCATATGTAAAGTACCCACCAAAACTATTCTATATTTATTGATGAAAGAACTATTTCACTTAGATTTTATATACGAAACACTTCAACAATGAATCAACACTGTAGATTTTATGTAAGAAATATTTAGTGTTAAAATTTTATATACGAAATACTTCAATAAAATACTGTTGATTTTTTGTAAGAAATATTTCAATAATATATAATATTGAGTTAAATTTTATATACGAAGTACTTCAATAAAATACTGTTCATTTTATGTAAGAATTAAATTTTATTTATATGTCATGTATTGAACATTATTTTGATGTGTGTTGGCATCCCTGAACCATCTAGGAATATGCTGTAACAGGCAACTGTATATTTGACCAGGCATACATGTTCTTCATGAAATAATTAGGGTGTCTGTCTGTCGTCTGTCAGTCCGTCCATTACCCCGTTTGTGATTGAGATATAATAAAGTAACACTGCTTGTGATTGGGATAAAATAGGAGCAGCCTAAGTCTGTGATTGAGATTTAATACAGCAACTCTGCTTGTGATTGATATAAAATAGAGTAGCCTAATAACCCTGTTTGTGATTGAGAATCAATACAGCAACTCTGTTTGTGATTGAGATAAAATAGAGCTATCTAACCCTGTTTGTGATTGAGATTTAATACCGTACCTCTGCTTGTGATGGAGATAAAATAGAGTAGCCTAACTTTGTTTGTGATTGAGATTGAATACAGCAACTCTGCTTGTGATGGAGATAAAATGGGGTAGCCTAGCTCTGTTTGTGATTCAGGTAGAATACAATAACAATGCGTGTGACTGAATCACCACTACTCTACGCTGGACTTGCCTCTCATTCGAGACTGGTGCTGTCTTCTTGCCAGATTCTTGGGAAGGTGGAAACGGAGTTACCCCTCCCCCCACAAGAGGTAAGTCACAAGAGGTGAGGTTTAACGTCCACTCAACACAAACAATGTCATTTCGGGACTAACACATGGTTCAATTTTATTTCAATAATTCGCTTGCGCGTAGGGGTCTTTAGCAGTGGGAGGCAACTGGTTGAACCAGAGAAAACTCAAGAAGTTGGACAGGCGACCTACTCCTTGTCACGTACAATCGAGGAATTTAAACCACGCCAGTTGACTCAATGACAGATCTTATGATACAGCGCGCAAGTCCTAAACGAATGAAGCACATGCTTGGATAACATATGCATGATCGATATGTTCAAAAGATCGATTATGTTTCCTCTATATGCCAAAATATCTCGTATCGCATTGAAAAGTTCTAAATGTAGAACGTGACAAGAAAGATAACTATACAAAATTACCTTCAGAATTTTCTATCCGAGAATTTGGAATTTTTATTGGTAGTTCATTTTTCTGTAGCGATCAAGCCCACCTCCGAATTCTAAATTTCTATACTCCAAGTGACGCAATCGTAAAAAAAAACAAGAACAAACCCCATCGAGAACTTCGCTGTATCGCGTTGATAAGCTCTACAAGTGAAACGGTAACTCTGTAACAAGACGGTCGACATCTAATGAACCGCTATACCTTGAACCCTATGTTGTGCAACATTTCTATCGACTCATAAATTTGAATATCAATTTGATTTTCGAAATATCAAAATTTAATAGCATTTGACAGCATTTGACAATCGAAAAGTGATGAATGTAGAATACCTACACATCTGGAATTCAAGCCTGCAGAGTGGTAACGTGGTTGCTAATTCTCACCAGGTAATAAAGATACCTGTGACTGTTATATATTTAAATTTGAAATTATACAGTATTCTTATGGGCCTTTAAGGCGTTTGCGTGACAGGAACAGCCATGACGATTGATCCGTTTTAACTGCTGCTCGTAGTACAGATAGTATTATGCTTTCTATCACTCGAACTGCAGGTTGTGCAGATAAATATCATAACATAACCAAATTTGATAACATTAGAGAAAAGATTTTAAGAAAGACAAACAAAATCCTTCTGTGGAGATATCTAAAGGTTAGGAAGGGACGGGGGAGTTGAGGAAAGTTTAACCCAACGAAAATTTATGTTATTAATGCATACATGTATATGGTATAATAGCATGTAATCAAATATACAAGATTTAATTTATATTTTATTTGATATAAATATGATATAAGATTAGCAAACAGAATATACATTAAATCTAGTATAACATATAGGAACACTATTATCAAAAAAGTAGAATATAAATTAAATCTAATATAATATATAGGAATACTATTAAAAATACATTATAGGAGATTCAATAACGCGTTGGCAGTTCTCACTATACTAGTTACAAACTAAATAATGTAAAGGCAATTTGCTGAAATGAACCGAGAACCAAGTGATTGAAATTTCAGCCTAGCCTCGATCATCATTACTAAAGTCAATAAGAAAAACAGTATAGTATCGATTATCCATTTAATCGTTAAATCGCGAAGGAAATGTATGCAGTAAATCGGCTCATAATCCACTAAAGATCGCAAGCTAGCGATGCCATGGTCTTGATAGGTTAATTAATTCTAATTAATAATTTAGATAACATTTCAGGCCTAAAGAAAGACCTGGAATAGACAGATTTAGCTCTTGTATAATGTATGTTTAATAAAAAAAATAAGGAAAACAATTAATATAGAAATATAACATATCAAATTATAGGAATACTATTATTAAAAACATAAGGAAAACAATTAATATAGAAATATATCATATAACATTATAGGAATACTATTATTAAAAACATAAGGAAAACAATTAACATAAAAATATAACATATAACATTATAGGAATACTATTATTAAAAACATAAGGAAAACAATTAACAAAAAAATATAACATATAACATTATAGGAATACTATTATTAAAAACATAAGGAAAACAATTAACATAAAAATATAACATATAACATTATAGGAATACTATTATTAAAAACATAAGGAAAACAATTAATATAGGAATGCTATTAATACAAATATAGGGAAACAATTGATAAAAATACAGTTATGGTATAAATTAGGAAATATAATTTAAATTAGATCTAGTATAACGTATAGGAAAACAATTATTAAAAATATAGATCTGTTATAAATTTTAAAATAGTATATAAATTAAATGTAGTATAACCTATAGTAATATTATTAAAACAAATATAGGAAATCAATTAATAACGATATAGACATGGTATAAATTTCAAAATAGTATATAAGTTAAATCTAACATAAAATAGGAATGCAATTAGTAAATAGTTAATACAGTGAGATATAAATTAAAACTAACATAACATATAGAAATACTATTACTAGATAATAAAACATGGGCAAACGGCTGTACGCAATCCTTTGGTGAAATACCACTCTGATATAAATTTTACGGACCAAAAAAGAAGTGACCGGTCCAGCAAAAACAACTCTCGTGACAACAATAACATTCGATGAATAACAAAACGGTCACCATATAGTAAATGAAATGAAATGGGGTTTAACGTCCTACTGTTCTGCTAATAACCTGGGCTAATGAACACGGGCATGCGTCATACAGTGTGCTATGAGGGAAATTTTGCCCGGGCAGCGGCGCTACGGCCTACTCTTATATCGAATTCCAACTGCCAAGGGATCTTTTACGTGCACGCCAATGTGTACACGGGACCTCGGTTTTTTGTCCCATTCGAACGACTATGACAGCTGTCCTTGTCAGGCCCTCCGTTCAATCTCACTGACAAGGGAAAACCGGAAAATCTGGATGAACTTTCTCGGTCAATGCAGGGATCGACCACCCGACTTCCAGGCTAGCGAGCCAGCGTCTTATCCACTTAGCCACGTACGTGATCCCCGTCACCAGATAGTACAACAAAACAATTTGTTAAAAATAACTGATATAAACAAAAGAGAATTGAGGACAGTTTTAACAAGAATTGGCATAAACAGCAAACTCATCTAAATATTCACCAACCGCATCAAAACAAAATTTTAACTGCTCCTGAAATTTACATATAATAATTTACAACATAAAATATAGTATATAGGTATATTGACCATGTGGGTGATCATCATACAGAAGAAATGATTAAATAAGTTTTTATTATCATGCCCAATTGAACAAACCAAAGTAAAAGGACAAACTGTACTGGTTTAATTTAAAAAATATGCCGTTGGATAATCTATTGGTTTAATAAAACAATATATCAATAGAAACCAATACACAGTGTGATCGACTATATGTATTTTAAATTATAATTGATCGATTAGAATAAAAGTACTGTTACAGCCTTGATCGCTGTTAATAACGGTTATTCAAGCACGCTGGTGATTTAATACATGACTTGTTGCCACCTCCGATGGATCATTCGCAAATCTTTACAAAGGGACACCACATAAAAAGATACCACAGTCATATTTTGAAACACAGTTCAAATCATTAACGTGTGGCTTGATTGAATTGTTGCTACAACTGAAAGAATTTATGAATAACTCTCATACGTTTAATGATGACTTATCTTATTTATTTTTGCTACTTATAATTATTAAAGGTCTAAAACTTATGATTACCTATCAGGACCGACAGCAGCATATGGTTAACCTTAAAGAAATGGCAAGCTGGACCTTTACAACATGTAATGTCGTGATTGGATTTATAATACTTACAAAAGATGTTATAATCTGAGGTCTAGAAACTCTTATTTGAACTAAATTCTGTAAAATACTGACATCTTGTTCTATAGTTAATCTTTCTAATATAGCTGCTAGAACACAGAATACACCCGATTTCTCTACACCATTCCTACAAAGTCAGACAAAATGAAAACTGGATTTTAAAATTTCCCCTGTCTTAATACGTTTGCCATCTTTCATTCAAAATCCAGGCATCACAATTAACAACAAAGCTGAACATGTTCACAATGATTAATACACGTGATTTGACCCAATTTACAGACAATGGACTATTATAGGTCAGTATTAAAATAATGTAAACCAACTTACAGACAATGAACTATCATACGTCCATCTTCATTTTCTTGGGACCATGCTTTTATATCTTCTAAGAGAGTAAATATGGGCCCAGCAGAAGTTGGTACCCCTTTCTTTGGATTCCAGAAATTACACTGATATATTTTGATTGTTCGTTGTAGGTTATCCTGATGGATTGAAACAAACAAATTATTTACAGACATGCATGTATACTTTATGTTGATGATTTACAATTATTAACCGTTCTCTAATCTGCCGTATTGGCATAAAATTATGTTACATTTATTTGAGCTAGTATAACATTACATTATATTAATGATTTACAATTATTGATCCTATGGAAGACCAAACAGCTCTTTATTCAGTGTTTTCGGTTCTTAGTTCTTTTTAATTCTTAGTTTTTAACTCATAGTCCCTATAATTCTTATTTCTTCATTTGTTGTCGTATTTCGACATTTATACACCAAAATTAACATTTTTATCTTAAATGTTATATTGTATAGCCATGAAAAGTATTTTTGGTTGCAGACCACAATTATTACCCCGAACGTATAGTTTCTATCATTTATAGTTGTTCTCTCTCTCTAACTCTTTTACCCTTTTGTACGGTCAATTTTGTTGTGGAGTTGTTCTAGGGACTAAGAGTAGGGTGGCCCATGTACTCACAGAAATACAGTCCACCGCTGATAGTTCGAGACTACCACTGAAGCGTGCACATTCGCCGTGCCGAGACCAACTTTCTGACAGTATGATACTATAAATAGCCATGGCACGTGCAATTCTCTACATATCTATCAACTATTACAGCCGTAAAAAATTTATTGTTGACGATTTTGAATAGCAGTAAAATTAAGCTTCTTGGTTATTACAGCAGATTTAGAAATTACGTTCGTTTCATTTTTTAAATCGCTTTATCATTAACTGTACCGTTAAGAGCGGCATCTTTTGGTTTAGTACAAATAATATCTCTGAAACACTCAGGTTAGGCAAGAACATGATACTAGCAGTAGTTTCATTTTACTTTTACAAGCTTCTTAAAACGATTGTTGAGCTACCTAACGTGCTTATTTCTAAATTCAATTTCTTGTTCTAGCTTTCTGTTATGTTTCGTAAAAAAGTAGTCTTGATTATCCCGACCTGTCAATCAGACGTAGAATGGTCGATAGACTGGTTAAGCGAGACTAATTTCAAAACAAGGGCACGTAACCTATCTTTTACTCAAAAGTGTCTGGATGTTATGGACGACTCTTGGAACCAGTTTTCAGTCTATTATTTATACGTGATTAATGGCCATAGCTTATTAAGTACAACATGATCGTTTATTTAGTGACTATAATTGTGTGGAACTGATTTGAGGCTTGGCATATATATAAGCATTGTAGCGTAATTGTCGAGATATATGGAGATATTTATTTATGGTGGGTCACCCTACTAAGAGCAAAGCTTGACGTGACATGGGGATGAAGGGAGGGGGTATTAGTACACTGAAAAAAAACTTGTGTTGGATCTCAACACAAGTACTTGTGTGAAAATTATTCTACACAAGTTATGTGTTGTTTTGCATTGCATTAACACAAACTTGTGTTCGTTTTAATGCATTAACACAAATCTTGTGTTTTTTCCATATAATTAACACAAGTAATGTGTACCGTCAACAAATATTTTTTTTTTTAAATTTGAACTCCATACAAAGTCTTAATCCGGGGGTCCACAAGTAAGAGAAAGGTATTTTTTACTCAGACAATATAGCCAGACAGACTTGAATGCTAATTGGTGTTAAGATGTCTGTAGTTAAAATAAAGTTGGGCCCAATAAACTGGTAGATCAAAGGCCTGTTGAGCGCTCATGCCCGGTGTGATTTTAACAATTGACTCTAAATGCGTTGACAAGAAAATAAGTAAAACTGTTATTGAATGTGATTGGTTGATAAAATCAACGTACTATAGGCTACATTTTGTCTGCGATATCATCTCGGTGGAAGCGGACATTAAATGAAGTGATTTCACACAATTAATTTAACATTTAACAACGTGCTGAAATGATTTTGGAGCAGTGATATGTTTGACAAATGTAAGCTAATGGTCACATAGATTACAAGACCGCAGGTTTGTGAATATTTATATAAAAAAAATAATACCATGTATGTAATTTAGCATCGATATTTTTTCTCTGTATAATATTAGTATTTTGTTTCCTTAAAAAAAACTCCAACAATTTAAACCGGAAGTTCATGTTTATAATATGGCGCGGTCAGGAAAAAAATTTCGGCATGTTATTATCAAATCTGTTCATTTTTTCTGAAATCATGCTTAATTAACATTAGTTGTTCGGCGCTACGATGTTGTTCAAATACTTACATTACAGAATCACATTATGATTAAAGCAGAAACGGTTCGACTTGAACCAGCAGGTAAGAATCTGTTTTGAAATTATATCTTGGGAGGTTGGATTGGCGTTGGAGACCCGATTGGCGGCCATTTTGATTCTTGTTTCATGATTTTTTTTATATTATAACGATTTTGCCAACAGTAGATATAAACGCGGGCACAGACTAGAAAAAAAATCTTTTTACACTTTTGTGTTAGTTGAATTGTAATCTAATTTATGTTTAAAAAAACAACCTTAAATCTAATAAGCAGACGGAAGATATGGACGAACAACAAGAAGAAGTTATGGAGGTCCCAACAACTGAACCTATGGAAGTAGAAAAATCGTTTACAGCCGAAACCCGATACGATGTGCCAGTTCCGGTTATGGAGTCCTCCATCTCAGACGATGCCGACGTTAGTGTCTTCTGCGACGAAGAACCCGTAGTGGTGTATCACTATAAACCTCAGAATGCCTCGTTCGGCATTTCTGTCCAAACGAGGCAAAAACGTGTCAAAATTTTTGACCCGATTTTGCCTCGTTGTAACGAGGTAAAAAAAATACCTCGTTTCTCTGGAGTTCCAAAACGTGTTTTTTTTTAAATTGCCCTGTTTTTGAAACGAGGTATTTTGTTCAGAACGAGGCTGGGTAAAATTGCCTCGTTTACTAAACGAGGTATTTTATCCAAGATAATTATTAGCGGTATTTGCTGTCAACAAATAGAGCCATACAAATAATGTTAGGACCATCATGTGACCAATTGCAGGTCTACAAATTTTATTATTTATTTGGGACATGATATTGTTCATAGTTATGGCTTACTACACTGGAGTTCTATTATGTATAATAAACGCTTCCCGAGCGAAACAAAACATAACAATGTCACGTGACAATATTACATATGGCGGATACAAGCGTTCTTTGATTACATGCTGTTTGGTTTGATTATTAAATAATACGGCAATCTGTATATATGGGAAAAGGAGAATGAATTTCCCCAAATCCAAAACTAGATGACTGGAATATTTATTGAATGGAAAGTAAATATTTTATAAACAAAAATATTCGGATTTGCAGTATCCTAGCTTGGATGGATTTGTGATTTGAATCTCGACCTCAGTGTTTTATACATTTTATTATAAAATTGTAATAAATGTTTTACATGAATGAATAAAATCTACAATTTAAAACAGTACAATAACATTGTGATTTGACGCTCTACAAATCACTAAGAGTATAACAATTGCTTGTTGAAAAAGCGTTAATAATATGTTTTTTTCCATTTATTATTTTTTAAAAATATATTCAAAAAGAATGCGTCTTTTACAGATTTCAATATAACCACAAATGGTTGATTGTTTTAATGCTAAGATAAGTATTAATGGTTTGTATTTGAAAATCAAATTATATAAGCGAAAAATAGTAAGATACATTATGTATATCTTAAAACACGCCCTTCTCAGTTACTACTTCGGCGAATATCGTTTGATAATTTAGATGATCAGAATTAAACACCGTTTTGCTATGTTATTATTTTTTTATGATTGGGTGGGGGTATACTTAATTAGGGGATTGGATTGAAAGATTATAGCTACCATCTTATGGAGACATAATGTGTGGTGCATTTACGGTCTTATAAAGCTCTATTCTTACATAAAGAATTCTTGATTCGCACGGAAGTGTTTTAGCCGTGATCATTTTAAGTCATGCTTATGCCAAGATCTGGGTAAGTGTTAATTTAACTAGATATCAGAAAAGTACCACGTTTTCATAAATGTACTCTTTAGATAAATTGTACAATATTTATCAGTTCACTAGTTACAATAAAATCATGCATTATAGCTATTTTTATTTATTTATCCCTGGTGCTTCAAATTCAATTTAGGGTGCCTCAACATATTTAAAAATATGTTTTAAAGCTTTAGGTCATTTTATTATATCTTTCTACCATAAATAATAGCCCAAATTTAGGTATACCAAAAGTTAAAGAAATATAAACAGTTTTTGAGTCATTCAGATATGACTGCCAAAATTGTCACCAACACACATGTCGTGTTTAGGCTAAAATCTAACCAGAAAAGTATTGTCAATACATAATAAAATATATATTGCATTAATCAATTCCATTCCGCAATTGGTTTGTCTTAAACTCGTCATTTGTGTTCATGGGCATCAGGGTCGAGATGGCAACGTTATATGTTTTATTCGTCTAATTTACTATAAAACATCATTCGGTTTGCCTCACGGGTTAACGGCATATTAATAGCTTTATTCACTGAGATGGTTCCTTTACTTATAGTTTATTTTTCGAATTGCTTTTTGTATTTATTTAAATGGAAATATTAACAACATTCTATAAGTCAATCCACGAACATACCCAATTTCAATATTTGCGTGTTGACCTTTAACATCACACTTAGATCCTGTACGCTTTGTGTCTTACAGTCAATACATGTCATGAAGAACTCTTTAGACATAATTTCGTTTATAATACTTTACTCGTTTCTATTGAGTTGTTTAGCAGAAGTAACCCATGACAACAATATGTTGAGACGACTACGTAACAGAATAGGACGATTCAATGTTATTAAAATGACACAATGACAATTTTAATTTTATTACCAACCCTTTCACGATATTTGAATGAAATATCTCACACAGGGTGTTAATCTGTTTTCAGTTTCTATTCCAATTCAATAAAACATTTAATACATGTCTTGGCTTGATTCATTATTTACAATTTAATACGTTAATCGTGTATTTTAAATAATACAGTTCAAGAGATCAAAACATTTCCGAATTTATACATTCAACATTACACGTAGACCTAAATGTATTTTTCAAATACGTGTATAAACATTTATATGCAATATATTATAAACAGATATGCTATGAGTTGCCATTATCTTTATTATTCGACTGGAAAACTCCTGTCATTCACTCTGTCGTTCGACTGATCCATCATTCACGTTGTCATTTCCGAGTCTGAAATTTGGGGTATAGGGGTAGCTCGGACCGGGGAGTAACATAGGCCAGGTGGCGTTAGTCTACCACTTCCGGTTTCGGAGTTATGACCCCCGAGCGAAGCCGGGCATTCTTCTAGTATATAAATAAATATATAAATAAATCATCTTCATGGTCATCATCATCGTCATCATCACTATTTAACACCAATCATCGTCGCCTGACAATTACCTTATCTATTCAAAGCGCTTGTTTAGTTTTAAATACTTGTGAACTTTACTAAAACTCACTTTGTTGAACGGGTTACTTTCGTTGGTATCGCCATATAGGAACGCTTTTGTATTTATGGATTTAAATGGGAGGGTATTTAATGTTGAGATACGCTGAGACGAATAATTTGGGCAGTGCAGAAAATAATGGTCGCTGTCTTCTTGAGTATGACCACAACTGCATGTCGGGTTATGTGAAATATGCATTAAAAATCTATGGAAGTTTAGAGCACTTTTACAATTACGAAGTCTGGAATGTATAATCTGAAATTTACGTTCTCCATAGTAACATCTTACTGACATCAATAAATACAAAAATATGACTAAGTCGAAAGTCAACAAGACGGTATACAAGCCAAAATGCAAGTCGAAAATAAGAAATTAGGAAAAAAAACGAGGGTAGCTATTATCGCAGTGTATTATTTCTTGATTTCCTATTTTCGAGTCGATTTTGGCTTGAATAGCGTTGCTGTCGCCTCACATTTTGTCGTAACTGCTACTTTTCGACTTTCGTGTTTTGGTGGCGAAAAGTAGAAATTAAGAATGGTAGGCTTCTATAGTTAGGCGTTTGTATATATGACTGTATACTTGACACATGTACGACGTGAATGGCTGAATGGCCGGTAACCAAATATGTTATTGTGAGTGTTAAACGACATCGTAATTATTTTATATTTTGCAAAAAAAACAAACAACAAAAAACAAAACAAAAAAACACAAGCCGTGATTGCCATTACTACAATACGGATTACAAAATATACTTTGTGTTCAATTTTATATTTTAATACTGAAGACAGGGCCGGACTATAAATGAACAAGGCGGATCCTTTTGGCTTATATTGAGTAATTATTGCAACGTGTTACAGTTGAAAGTTCCAAAGCATTTTCACATTCCATGTCCGATAAATTTAATCATCATGCAACTACTGATTGGTGGGTCGTCGAAACATTTAGATGCATACATCACAGCACCGTGGTTAAGACAACTTGCAATTGAACTAGTTTTATTGTTGTACACATAATGAAAGAAACTGTGTTATTTCACAGCTGAATTCTATGGTAAGAACCGTAGAACCACCTTGTAGGGAATAACTTTTAAACTTTAACACCCTATACACACTCTGCCAGCGGCATCTTTGACCCACACTCTCTTAAAATTAATCCAAACTTTAAATCTTTCAACGGTTTAACAAGAAGGTGCTAAATATTTCCATTTAAATAAATACAAACAGCAATTCGAAAAATAAACTATAAGTAAAGGAACCATCTCAGTGAATAAAGCTATTAATATGCCGTTTACCCGTGAGGCAAACCGAATGATGTTTTATAGTAAATTAGACGAATAAAACATATAACGTTGCCATCTCGACCCTGATGCCCATGAACACAAATGACGAGTTTAAGACAAACCAATGGCGGAATGGAATTGATTAATGGAATAAAATATTTATTATGTATGGACACTAAGTTTTATGGTTAGACTTTAGCCTAAAAAAACATGCGCGCTGATTACAATTTTGGCAGTCATATCTGAATGGCTCTTTAACTTTTGGTATACTTAAATTCGGGCTATTATTTAATATATATATTGATCAACAGCGGCGATAAAAATCATTAGTCTCGACAATGACTAGTTGTCAGTGAAAGTCTCTCAGGGGAGCCAGGCGGCTCTGTGAATAAAGAGCTGGCTTGAACGCCTCGTGTTCATTAGCCTGAATAGTGAAGGAATGCGGGTCATTAAACCCCAATTTCATTTCATAAATCACTCGGCTCAATAGTGAGCTACTCGGGTTGGTTAGATCCACGCCTTAATGCATATACAACCAATAGAGAAATGGGTCAAATATGGCGACAATGATCAACTTGCTCTTCTTCTACTAAATTAAAGATTCGTGTGGAGATTCTGTCGATATAATCATATATTTATATCTGCTCTTTCTTAAAATGGAGACGGTTAGTAAAATGGTCTTCTTTACGTTCCTAAATATCAGTATGACCTTAGTGAATACCGCACGATTACGATCCGTTCCAGACTGATAACTTTACGTTCCTAAATATCAGTCTGACCGTAGTGAATACCGTACGATTACGATCCGTTCCATACTGATACCTTAATTATAGGCTAATTATAGAGCCTTCAATTTCAAACACATTTTTATTATCATATGCTCTTATTTTTTTTTCATCATTATATGATTAACATTTCCTAAACTTTACGATTTTCAACTTTTTTTTAAAATAATAGTCCATCTCTGAGACAACAAAAACGTAAATAAATGGAAGATAAAAGCAAGAAAGACAACCCTAATAAAGGAGTCAGGACTAAGACTAGTAATTATTTCCCCTTATTTCATGATTGTCGAATGTAGTGCGAGTTATAAATAGACAATTTTTCCCTTAATTTTTTTCTCCCCTCTTCCTGCATTTTTGGGTTGACTTTTTGGTCTAGAATTGGAGAAAAGGGATCAAATTTGCAATTTCATAGCAGTTTTGGGTAATACTGATGATATTACAGCGGAGGGATAGGGGGTGTAAAGTGTCTTTCTGCAGAGCAATCATTGTGTCGGAAGTGAGATTTTCACCCCTGTCAACTTCAAATCCGTGTAGCAAAAAATCTAAACGGTCAACCCCCCTACAAAATTATGATAAGGAGATTGCCAAATGTTGTCCCCATTGTGCCTATAAAGATTGGAACCAACGGAATGTTGAGCAAACAGCTACAGCCTGTGATGTTACAGTCATTTAACATTGAAGTCAATGGGCAAATAATTGCTAGTCTGACCCCTGATGATATAAAGAAGCATGGCCGACTCGGGATGTTGATATTTTTTCAACGGCTTATTTCCTGAAGTTTTGAATGGAAAGTGTCAGAAATGGTAAGAATACTGCTTTTTTATTGCCCAGCAGTAAGTTTTTTGACTATTTGGTATCAAAATAGCCATGATTGGCCTTAATATTTAGACCGAACCTCAAAACATGGCATCTACCTTTGAGATTGGCTTAGACTTATGTGACACTCAAGGTTTACTTTTTTACTGATTGTTAACTGGTTTCTTTTTGGAGGGCCAGTGACGGGCTGTTCGCGAGAAATAAAGAGGTTTATTTCTATTTCCAGTTGAAACCATATTTTTTTCTTATTTTCTCACTGTTTTTTATTGCATATTTATCCCCAGCCTCCTATCATTTCAGGTGCCAGGGCAATGTTTCATAGAGTGGAATGATTGACCTCAACACAAGTATTAAAAAAAAAAGAAGCAAAACAGGTGAGATAAATGTGCATTTCATACACTTTAAGAAGTACATCCAACCTCATCCCCACTTCTGCTGACGAATAGTAATGGGCTGGAAATTTGGTACTGCACAGGCCTGTCTTCTCCCCTTGACATTTAACTGAATGACAGAATTTCACATTTTGGCCATTTTCTGGATGTCAATGACCATTTCCCTGGATAGTATTCGCCCCAGAATTCTCATTCTCATCCAAATTTAACATTTCAGGTCTACATCTCAAAACCTGATCTCTTCCTGGACTGGCTTTAGGAGAACGATGATGCATATCAATTTCATCCCTGATCTCTATGACACCTGTGGTGGAAGTGGAGGGCAAATCGTAATCAGTTTGGGTTCCAGCCCCGAGGACCTCTGTAAACTTTGCTTTTTGGTGATGACTTAATTTCCGAGCTTGAAAAGGACGCTTGTGTGTTTATCATGGCCTCTCATATTGGAAGATATCATTAATGGCTTGTGTGTTGATCGACGGTTGTGCATATCTCTTGGTCAGGAAAGTTGTAGGCACCATCGCCATTGTAAATCATTTGACAGGCCCGAGTGAACGGGGCGACCTATGATTGGTCAGCAATGTATCAGATTCCATACCGGGGGGGTGGGGATGAAAAAACTGTTGTAGTGTTACATAATCAGATTATTTCAACTTACTTATCCTGTGGAAATACAGCTATATAGGAGATATTTTGAAATTCATAGGCACTGCATGTTTCAACATTTTAGATTTGACCACAATCTGGCACTTGAAACTATGTTAACAGAGAAAAACTGTGTGGTTTTCGATGAAAGTGTTAAAAGTCTAATATTGCATCATGATTACTGTTTTAAAGTATTTTCGTGTTTGATTTATATTGAATTCATCTCATCTTTTTGAAGAATGCATTTATGTTCAAAAATAAAAATGTTCTGTGGAATTCAAAATTCATGTGCTTTTAAATTATCAGATTCCAAACTGGGGGGTAGGGATGAAAAAGCTGTTGTAGTGTTACATAATCAGATTATTTCAACTTACTTATCCTATGGAAATACAGCTATATAGGAGATATTTTAAAATTGATAGGCACTGCATGTTTCAACATTTTAGATTTGACCACAATTTGGCACTTGAAACTACGTTAACAGAGAAAAACTGTGTGGTTTTCGATGAAAGTGTTAAAAAGTCTAATATTACATCATGATTACTGTTTTAAAGTATTTTCGTGTTTGATTTATATTGAATTGTATTTAGAAAACGGAGGAAACCGAATGACCCAGCGAAAAAACTCAAGAGATTGGACAGGCGACTCTACTCCTTGAAATTGAAACCATGCCACTTAACACAATGACAGACCCTGTGATTTCATGCGCATGCATTACCTACTAGACCATTCCCCCCAGCCCCACCCCATATCGAATAAAAGTATGACTTATTTCAAATATGATATTTACATATAAAGAAAGTAGAGAGACTTCAATCTTACTAGAAAAATACTAGATTACCTGAAATGAAATGGGGTTTAAAGACAACGTCCTACTGGTCAGCTCCGACTGGTCTAATGCATTGTGCTAAGTGAAAATGTTTGTCTGGGCAGCGACACTATGGCCTACTCTCATACCGAATTCAAACTGCCAAGAGAACTTTTATGTGTACGCCAATGTGTACATTGGATCTCAGGGGAAACCACTCTGCAAAATCAAGATGAGCTTTCTCGGTCAACCCCAAGAGATAACCTGTGGCCTCCATGCTAGTGTGCCAGCACCTAATTTACTCAGTCACCATGGCCGTCTTCTAATTACTGCGACAGTGAAACCATGTGACAAACAAGGATTATTAAGATAGACTTTTACGGCTTGGTAGTTCCTTGGGATTAAAACTTTTGATACATATAGATACATTAGTTTCAATTTCATATCACACAGTTTGTATATATGGTAAGGTAGCTTTAATCGTAAATTACATATCATGTATTTATTTTTGCAGTTTCAATATTGGATGTATATGCAAATCACCCAGAAAAAGATCATGTAATAACAAAAGAAATTATAAAAGAAAAAAAGGAAGAAGAAATGGCTGGAAAAATTGATGATAGAGCAGCTTTTTCTTGGTGGGTAACTATTCAATTCTAATAGAAAAGATTGTTATGCTATTTTGAAATCTAAAATTCAGTTTAGTATAGTAAAACTGTACACGTCATGTATGAGCAGAGACAGAATCTTAGTTATATGTAGATATCACTGTCTCATCTGTGGCAAAGCAAACCAACACATGAAACAAAACAAATGTAATTAAAGTAACATTTTTTTTAATTAATCAAAACTGTCTAGTCAATTTAAGCCAACTAATACATTGCCATTTTTTTTTCAGTTACCCACCTCGGAAGATCAAGTTGGAAAGGGCTATTGATATTGTGGAGACGTTTTCTCACAGATCTTGCTTATCAGACAAAGACTATGTAAGTACCATGCATATTTGCTTTTTAAATCAGGAACTGGTTCTATACACTTGGTGGGGGGGGGGGGGTGGATGGACGTTAAACCCCATTTCTCTCTCTCTCTCCTAAATATTGAGATTTTTGTTTACTTTTAAACTGCATATATTCAAGGTATCAGGAGCTTTTTATGGCTCCCGTACAATTTTATAAACATGAAGGACTGTACCTTTTGAATATTAAGCCATCAAATTATTTTATAATTTTGAAAATGAAATGAAATGGGGTTTAACATCCTACTGTTTTGCTCATAAATTGGGCTAATGAAGACGGGCATACGCCATACAGTGTGCTATGAAGGGAATTTTGCCCGGGCAGCAGCGCTACAGCCTACTCTTATATCGAATTCCAATTGCCAAGGAATCTTTTATGTGCACGCCAATGTGTACACGGGACCTCGGTTTTTCGTCCCATCCGAACGACTAGACAGCTGTCCTTGTCAGGTCCTCCGTCCTGTATCACTGACAAGGGGAAAACACGCAAAATGTAAGTAACATATATATTTGTATTTTTAATCAGGAAGTACTTCTATACACTTGCTTGGTAATCTAGTTATTCTTCTTGGGGCAATGCCTAGGACTCTGCTGTTTCAAGTACTTGGCATGCTTGATTTTTGCCAATCACATCCATTGATTTCCTTCAAGTTGCGATAGGCCCTACATGTATGTGTATTTTTACAGTAAATAGCAGTAAAATAATGATGGACAGTATTTTACTTTCAAATAGATTTCAGTAGATTTTAAAGGGTAATATCCAATTTGTTGTCAATGGAAATAAAATAAGAATGGGTCCAAAAATAATTAGACATTACGCAAAGTTGAAACCAAATAGAGACTCGGTCTCGATGTGGCAAAAATAAAATGTTTATTTAAACGTTGTGAACCATAGAAAGTATTCTTATCTCCTACTTTTTATTTTTGTAGGCTGGAACACCATTGAAAGAGTATTTGCTGTATGATAACAACAGGAAAACCCAAGCATCAATTTATTTTATACTTCTGGGAAAGAATGCATTTGACCCAATTTTTAAATATTTATTTTTTGTTATTAATGTTAAATTTTCTTCCAAAACACAATTAGATTTTAATTCTCTTCAGAAATGTATGTATAATATAGCAAGTAAAGTGGCATATAAATCACTTAGAATTTGGTCAGAAATCATAAAGTATTTAATAGGCATTACTAGAAACCAAATGTAGATCAAATACACCCAGAATTACAAAAAACCTTGACCTACATAAAGGTGACTTTCCCTTGCTTATGAAATGAAATACGGTTTAGTATCCTACTTTTCTGTGTTCTTAGAGTGATTCTGCCCTACACCCTACTCTTATATCAAATATTTCAACTGTCAAGGGTTCTTTAACGGGAACCCGGGGGGGGGGGGCAATGATTAACACGCACACATTTGATCGGGAAGTCTGTCATTGAGTCAAATAATTCAATTGTCAAGGCTTCTTCTAAGTGAACGCAGTGGGGATGGTTTCGATTCCGGGAATGGGGGAGGGGGTGGTGGATGGCCGAATGGTAAGCATGTGCGTGCGGTATCATACAGCCTGTCATTGAGTCAACTGGCGTGGTTTCGAATCCCCGGTTGTACGTGACAAGGAGTAGGGTCGCCTGTCCAATCTTGTGGGTTTTCTACGGGACCTACGGTTTCCTCCCACTGTTAAAGACCCCTATGCGCAACGAATTATTGAAATAAAATTAAACCATATGTTAATCCCGAAATGACCTAGTTTGTGTCAAGTGGACGTTAAACCCCATTTCTCTCTCTCTCTCTCTCTTTCGATTCCGGGCTTGTACCCAATTATCCCTTGCCATATCCAAGACTACTGACAAGTGGGAACTATGCCGGAAAATCCAGTTGAAATTTCTCGGCCAACACCTTATACTCACTGAACCACTGTGGCTTATGACTTGTGATTGTATATAAATTTTTTGTACATATGATATTTTTTTATTTCAATCCTGTAATCTTGATGCTTTGCTTCTTTTATTTACAAAATATTCATTTTGTTTGGGTTTTTTTAATGAGGAAAAGGTTTTACATCATTTTATTACTCCTGCAAAATAGTGCATTTTTCTTTTGTTAGTTTTCTGTGTATATTAGTTATTTCTATATGTCTCACAAATCACTTGTAGTGTGATTTTGTAGCACTTTTCAGTTTTTGAAATTGTTTCAATTTAGTGCATAATTAATCTTAGTGCTTGGTTTGGATGTTATTAAATTTAGATATTATTTGAATTATATATTTTGGAGTATGGGGTAGGGATACTGTGTACATATCTTTATATTCTCAGTTCTTGTTTTGGGGTAAAGAACAATTTATATAGCTATTTTATATTTTGTGATAGGTAAAGTGTGTGGGGTTAAGAACAATTTAAATAGCTATGTTATATTTTGTGATGGGTAAAGTGGGGTGTGTGTGTGTGTGTGTGGGGGGGGGGGGGTCATTATATATAACACAATATAATTAGTATTAGAATTCTCTGTTTTTCTGTTAACATTTCAAATATCTATTTAGTTTTGATGTATTAATTTACTTTTTCCAATGATTTTATGAATAAATAATAATCTTACAAAAACAAAAACAAATTTTGTTTCCTTCTTTTATCAAACTTTACAGGTCTAACAGAGCAAAGAGATGGGTCCTGCATAAAAAGGTTGCTATACTGTATATAAATTGGGGAAAAACACAACACAAGTTTTTGTGGATGGTTATACACAAGTTTGTATGAAACCACACAAGTTTCAGAAATTTCAACACAAGTTTCAGAAATTTTAACACAAGTTTCAAAAATTTCAACACAAGTTTCAAAAATTTCAACACAAGTATTGTGTAGATTTTCACACAAGTTTCAACACAAGTTTGTGTTGTTTGATAAATTTTAACACAAGTTTTGTGTTGTTTCAACATTTAACACAAGTTTTGTGTTGTTTCAACACAAGTTTGTGTTGTTAAATAGAGACACCATACTTGTGTTGAAAACAACACAAGTTTGTGTTGTTTCAACACAAGTTTTTTTTCAGTGTAGTTTATAGGTGGAAAGATAAAGGGTTTGGTTCAGTGATATGTACGGCAGATAATTACATGTTTAGTAGTATGATATTACAAACGTGTGTATCTCAACAATTTCCACAGTCATCTCCATACACGCTTTGGAGTAAGATATATTCGTTTCTGCTGGAAAGTGTTCAGCTGAATGAACATTTGGCGACAAGATGGAAACTCGTACAGTGAAAATAAATGATAATAAAGACCACATCGACGACAATGGTGGACTGCCTCCTATAGAAAATGGGCTGGACATGAGATCAGTGGTCTCATATGAGATTGGTGCATTTTGTACCGTTAGCACGCGGTGGGGAGCGCACAGCCCAATTAAATGTGGAGAACAGCTGAAGCCGGGCTAAAATAACACAATCAACAATATGGTTAATACAATTTCATGTGTTAGTCCAATTTCTTAGAATACTCGTTTGACTAACATTGAGATGGACACAGAAAAGGATTGAAAATAATAAAATTGAAATGTCCCTTGAAGTATTTACAACCTAGCAACTATCTAAAATATAACACACCAATAAATAAATATGATGAATAGGGATTAAATTAAAAGTGAAAGTCCCTACTTACATCTACTTCACTGTTAATTAAACAGGTAACGACTGAATAAATACCATTCTCATGTTCTGTTTCATGTTGTTTGATAATATTATATGGTCCACATCTCAGTTCATCAGTTGCTGGTATATATTGTCCAATATCCTGTATATAAAGTACAAATATATACCTTGTGTTGTATCTAGAATACAAACAAGTTTTAAAAGGAGAAACACACTTGTGTTGTACCTTCGTATTTTTTGACTTAATACGTAATTACGTTACTGATTCACAGCGGTGCCTATATCGCCTATATGGCTATATTATATCCCGCAAACTCATTTAAGCCTCGTTTGAACATACAATATGCAAGAGATAAATCTGCCAATTGCAGGTCTTTCTTTAGGCCTGAAATGTTATCTAAATTATTAATTAGGCATTAATTAACTTATCTAGACCATATAATCAACTCTCGATGGCATCGCTAGACTGCTATATTTACTGGATTATGATCCCATTTGCCGCTCGACTTCCATTCATAATTTAATCATGAACTGGATGATTGAGACTATTTTTTATATCGTACAGACTTTAGTAATGTTGATGGAGGCTAGGCCGAAATTTCAATCGCTTAATTCTCGGTTCATAGTAGATCAATTTGACTAAAATGTTCAGCAAATTGCCTTTACAGTAACTAGTTTTTAACTATTGTAGTGAGAACTGCCAGTTCTTTATCTTATTCCCATAATGTATCTTCAAGAGGGTGCAATACAAATTTGACTCTGGCATGATTCAATTCATTTTTTTTTTTGAATGAAGCAGGTTAAATAAGATTTTGAAATTGCATTAAAGAATACGTATTACAAATTTTACCTTTCCTGTTTCTGTAATATCCATATTAACTATTGTAGTAACGTCTTGATCTACAACCATCGTCCAGAAATCTATCACTGTATTTGGTAAGGGTGTCTGGGTCAATATGTAAGCATCTTTCTTTTTGTAGCTCTGTAAATATAAGACAATCGTGTAAAATTGAAAGAATGTCCAGTAGTTTATTAGAACTAAAGGTGATTGACATTAATCAAAAGTACAAACATTTTTTTTAAAAAAAACAACCTAATAATATCTTCGTGTTTTGTTTTTAGCTTTTTAGGGAAAATATATTATTTGTCTTTCACTCCTAACCTTCTATTTTATTTTGTGATACTTATTTATATATTTATTTTTGTAGAGAATGATTAACTTTTATGATTATTTATCGTTTACTTCTAATCTTCAGTTAATATTCTTGTCTTACCGATATAAACACAGCATTGATATAATCTGTCGTATTTGGATTTAATAAAAATATTCGAGTTTTATCCGCTAAAATAAAGAATATGTACATATAAATATCATTTTATAGTATACAAGTAAATTATTTTCCCAAAGGAAGTACTAGAAATACGGTGGGACGATTTACCCAATAGGCCCTACCACCCAATAGCACCCAAACGTCAGAATTAAGTCAATTGTGTAAGACCACAGAAAATAAATTTTGGAAAAAAAACCTAAGAAAACTACTAACATGCTAGTATTGACAGATCTCTGTTCTTATTTTGGTTTTCTTCTGATAAAGCTACCGAACAATCAGTTTCTTCTTGTGGTGGACACACATCACTAAGCATCTGAAAAAGAATGTCATATTAAGAGTAAATAAAACAGCTCCATATATTAAAATACAATTAGTGTATTCATAAGTCCAAATGAACACTTACCTCAAATCGTTCTTGAAGCTGTGATTTATCAGACGAACTATTGACCTTTAGTAACGTCTGATAGTCTTGTTGATATGACGTCACAGGAAACGTTATATCTCCCGCGATATACCATGTAGCTAAAGCATCATGTAGAAATGCATATTGTTCCTGAATTATTTGAAAAAGATAACTGATTTTGTTAGAAATACTTAAACATGCATTATGCAAGAGCTAAATCTGCCTATTGCAGGTCATATTTTATGCCTGAAATGTTATCTAAAATATTAATTGGACATTAATTAACTTATTCAGGACATAATCAACCCTCAACGCCATTGTTAGCCTGTGATCTTAGTGGATTTGAATACATTTTGTGATGGATAATTCCAAAGTAAAATGTATAATCGATGGATAATTATAGAACCAACGTTAGTAATGATGATCTAGGCTAGCCGAAAATTGAATCGTTAATATCTTGTTTCAGAGTGAATCCATTTGGCTGAAATTTACGGCATTTCTGTTTTCATTATCTATTTCTTAACTATTATAGCGAGAACTTTCAGCGCTTTATCTAATCTTACTTAATACCCATTTTAAAAAATAAAATATATTATTGTGGATTCTATATATAATGGTAATGTATAAATTAAATAATCATACCCAATTCTGGACCATGTTAACTCGTTCATATCTCATCTGTTTAACACATTCATAGATATCTACAGAACCTTCTGCTCTAGCTTCTTCTATCAGATAATCTAAACCTAAAAAAGTTCCCGTTCGTCCAATACCAGCACTGCAAAATATAAAGTTTCGTCGACTATTCATTGTATGATGGACATATGATGGTTATTATCAGCACATAACTACGGTGATAACTATGAGCTCCATTATCAACACTTAATTCAAATAACTAAGCTACAAGATTTAAAATATCAGGACTTGTCAACAATAGGTTTACCTACCTGCAGTGTACCACCATTGGTCCAGGATGGGGTGATACGGCTTTAATGACTTTACTTCTAAATTCAACCAATGATGCAACATCAGTAGGAACACCTTTATCAGGCCATGATGTATAATGGTACTGTTTAATGGTCCTAGATCCACATTCATCCTAGAAATGTACATAGATTTATTTGATGAAACCATTCCATAACATAATGTTATGCATTAAGAAATATGTCCGAAGAGCAAACGAATGGTATTAGGAACAGCTTTATTAGGGCACTATGTATACTGGCAATGTTTAATTGTTCTAGATCCACATTCGTCCTGAAAATCTATATGGAACTATTGGTGAAACCATTCCATAACATAATATATACTAGGCATTGATAAATATGTCGACTGTCATTTTTGTAGTGATGCCAATATATTTGAATACCTTACATTTTATTAAACGATGCTACGGGCAGGTAAATATACCAAACCAAAACAACAGTATTTTGGTTGCTTAAGGTTTTGGGCGTGTCTTGTAAACGAAACAAATGTGAAAATGTAATTCGAAATTTAGATTTGTGAAAATCTTTGCAAAATACATTATTTCAGTTTCATAATTCATTAATACTGTTGTGTGCGACCAACGAACGACCGTTCTGTCAAGAAAGCCCAGCGCTGTCTGTCCGGGTATAATTTGATAGAAACTACACAGATAGAAATGGAATTAAATGGGATTTAAGTCTTAATGTTCTGCTCCGACTGGGCTAGTGAAGACGGCTGTACGCCATACGGTGTGCCACGAGGGAAACTTTGCTCGTACAGCGGCACTACGGCCTACTCCAACTACCAAGGGATCTTTTACGTGCACGTCAATATATAAATGGGACCTCGTTTTAACGTCCCATCCCAGCGACTAGACCTCCTTCCTGAACCACTGACAGAAGAAAACTAAGTCGTAAAATACTCGGCCATTGCACGCGATTCCAAGACTAGCGAGCCAGCGCTCTACCCACTTAGCCACCGTGTCCCCTCCCACCTACCCCCACACACAGATATGAGCCTCCTGCACTTAATATTATAGTCCAGGGTAGATATACATATTTTTATCGAATAGAAAACTTACTTTTGTGATTTTCAGTGTTCTAATTGTGAAGTGAGAAAAGTTATCTTCATTGACCAATGTCATGGAAATTTGACCAAACTTCATTTCCTCACCACTGTCCGGCCAATACTTAAAACATTTTTTCTGGAAAATTACATTATTATTACCCATTTGTATGGTAATAGTATTAGCAATTATTATGCAGATCATGTGCAAGGGATTAAAGTGGAGTAGCCTGGATAAAAAGTGGAAATGTCCCCACTTCCTGTGGACGAACTGTGTTTAAAAACTCAAATGTGATGTGATACATTCTAGAATAACTCTAGAATTAAGAAAACACCTTTATGGTCACCAATACCATCTATAACTATAGCGAAATCGTAACACTAATATAATTTGGTTTTGTTTCTACGATTCGGTCGGTTGTTGTCATTCACGATTTCGCTATCTGATATTCATATGCAACGTTTCTGGGTTCATGATACTTGATATGGAGAGTTCCTAAAATCTCTACCCACGAAGTGGATGTGTCTTTACATATATATTATGCCAAACCATTTTATATTGGCTTCAAGAATTACGACAAACTTTTAAAACCGAGATTGCTGAAACAAAAGTAAACTAAACATGAGCTTAAATTTCAAAAGTTGTGATAATAGTAATGTCTCTGTCTGATTTCGTTATTTTCATGCACGCGGTCCCAAGTATCGTTTCGGTTAAAATATATCATCCAAACTTTGAGTTACTTGGCTACATTTCATTTAATATGCAATGTAATTATTCTCGGGTTAAATTCGTTCACTGGAATTCGTACTTTGACAACATATTAGGATACACATGATATTATTTCACATTTAATGACAAAAAAACACCTTTACAAAAGCAGAATGTCCTGATGGATGAAAGTCAGCTACGCGTCAATAGTGATGGAAATAGTAAATAGTGAGCATACATTGCCTCCTTGACTGGGAGAGGGAGAGAGAAAGAGAGAGAGAGAGAGAGAGAGAGAGAGAGAGAGAGAGTTTAACGTGTACTCGACACAAACTAGTTCTTTTCGGAACTAACATATGGTTCAATTTTATTTCAACAATTCGCATTAGCAGGGGTTTTTAGCAGTGAGCGGAAACCGGGGGACAGGAAGAAAACCCACGAGATTGGACAGGCGACCCTAATCCCTGCCACACCGGGGAATCGAAACCACGCCACTAACAATTCGGCCATCCAACACCCAGAGGTTTTAGAGGTAATGTTGCCCAATCGAAACCTTTAGAAATATATTAATACATACAGGACAATAAGTCTTTAAAAAGGATATACTGATAATTGAAACAGAAAGTGAAATTACATGATGTGATAATGAACTACAGAATGTTTTAAATTGTGATAGTTATACACGTACTTTTCCCATTTCCACCAAGTTGGTCAACATAACAATCTTTCCGGTCTGTGAAACCCACAATAATCGCAAAAACTCTTTAATAATAACATCAACTGGACCTAAGAAATAGGATCAAAGTAGATGTGCATGAAATTATACAATATAAAATAATACACGCGAAAACCGCACAGTTAATAGCCTTTCCTATGTGTTACCTTGCCCATTGATGTCTTAGTGATGATTTGTGATGTTACGTATAACAAACTGGATACCCCAAAGCCTCCCATAAACTTTAACATTAAATGAAAATATTCTCACCTTGTGAAGCAATATATTTGTTTTCGGTGTTGGCATATCCCTGTGTATAACAGAAAGCAATATATTATTTAAATTACTGATACTGACTATCAATACTTTAGCGGTCCGGCTTTTTTTAAGCTGCCGTTTTACAAATATAATCCCGGGTCCATAGAGATTGAAAGATATGTTGATATCACATCCAGAAAAGCAATACAAGAACCAACAGTAACGTCATAATGTTGTGGTAGATCTTAATGAAATATAACTTACAACTGCTCAGACTGGTGAGGTATCACCATGGTGTCGTGTTGTCTTGGTGGCGTCAAATATGATGTCTATTAAACTGATGTCTAGGGAAATTTAAAAGCCCATGACACTGAATGCGTCAGTGACTGATCCCGGGGATAATGGAAGTACTATATTAGTTGATTGGTACCCATATAAAGACGGGATCGTAAAAACTGTTTCCGAGATATAAACGTTGACCTTAAACAGTGTACCAATAAACTGAATGCCTTAAGACTTAGCTGATATAACAGGAATTTACTGGCCTTGTGATGCGTTTTACGTAGAAGACAATTTCGATCTTATTATTTAATATATAAACTGAAACAGACACGAGCTATTTACTACTTATATTAAAGTAGCCAAGCTCAATTTTCGCGCCCACTGTAAATCCCACGACTTTGGAAAAATCTAACAACTTACAGTTATGTAACATGCGTTGATGTAATCAGAATTAGGGTCATCGTTTTCTATATCCAGTTTAACTCTTGAATGATTAACTGTAATAAATTATATTTATAACCCAATAATACATTCTACAGTAGATATCGCTTGTGTGATATATTTCATAATCTACTGCTAAGGAGATATCGCTTTACACGAATTTGATTGGTCAGTTGAAAAGGAACTACTTTTTTTTATTTTCAAAGAACAGTTCATTTCTTATTAAAAGTAACTTTTTTTAAATTAAAAATGAACTATTGTTATTCAATTGACCTTGATGGAAACACTGGGTCAATATAAAGGATTTTGCAATGGTTGAATTGCTGTCAAAAAAATGATGTATCACTACGCCGTTATGTTCAGTCAAAGTGAAATCTACAGCAAAGAATTATATTTATCTATCTGTGCATGTAAGAAGGGATTGGGTGATAAATAAAATCTCCTACTCGTCTTTTTTATATCAAAAAATATCAACACTCGTTGAAGAAGTAAAAAAAAATCGGCAGAGCCTCGTTTTTTGTTACTTTATCAACTTGTGTTGATATTTTTTGATATCAAAAAAGACTGGTAGGAGATTCTCTATATAATACACGTTTTTAATTCAACTTGCGAATTGTCACCTGTAATAAATTACATAAATATATTGTCAACGGGTAAACAATGCTACACAATCAAATTATTAATCAAAGAAACTTACAAGCACATATGTTTTTATATCTATTTTTAGGTTTATTAACAGAATTCATACAATAATCATATGCTGAACATAGTCCACTTGGAAGACTCTGAAAAGGAAATGGGTATTGATCATGATACACGCAGATTTCATACAAAGTCAATGGGTAAAATGGGCTGTAATATGCAGTCAACACAGAACTTCCAGTCATTGATACAAACATAAACATTTTCATTTACATAGTTATAACTGTTTTGTCTAATGTAGTCTTCTACGATTTTGAACTGGGCTAAAGATTTTCGAAGCACACAAGAGCGCACTTTTCTTGTCAATCGTCCAGGCGAATCTGATTCTGTGTACTTTTAGATCCACTAATCAAGACAAAGGCAGTGTAAATATGACATAATTCTACTTTTTTATAAGTATGTAACTCTACATGATAAACTAACATTGTTTCAGAAATATGTACTTCAACGTGTTTTGTAAGTCTGGTGAATACACGTATAGTCATTTCGGGACTAACATATGGCTCAATGTCACTCCAATAATTCGCTTGCGCGTAAGGGCCCTTAGCAGTGGGATGAAACCACAGGATCCGGGAAAAAGCCACGAGGTTGAATAGGCGACCCTACACGTACAACCAGAATCGAAACTACGCCAGTTGACTCAATGACGACCTTATGATACAACGCGTACGCGCTAACCATTCGGCAATAACCCCTCCCCCCACCACCACCGAATACACGAATAACTTACCTGAAATTCCGATTCAAGTGCTTCTCTTCTGGTCTTGATATATTGCAGCAGATCGGTCAATGTAACACGTGTAGATAATTCAGATGGTTCATCAACGTTTTCATAAACTTGTGTTGATTGTTCATCAACTTCTAGTTTGTTGGAAGATCTTAACTGATTAATATATGTATTACCACTCTTATTAGTTTTCTCTTTCACTATAAACAGAGGATAGCTTGCTTACATAAATCAGTAAACTATGCCAAGGAAATAATAAATAGACATGATTAAAATTTGATTTTTGCCAAACAATTAATCGTTATTGTAGTAGATTACACTGAACATTAAAATAAAGTAGGAAACTAATTAATGAAATGAGGTTTAATTTAATACAGTTCTCGGGACAAGAATAAGATCGTTGTAACGATGACATTAAATAGTGAGAAACATGAAATGTTAATTCCCATGATTTTACTAGATTAACTGTAATTATAAGACACTGAACCGACCTTTAAGGTTTTTTTCTAAACGCCTTGATACACCAGTACTTGCATGTAGCGGTATATCGTTCACTTCTACTTGGTCAGATTCCGTCGATTTTTGTCGCCTACAAAAAGAACCCGAAAAACAATGCAATTATAAAACGTGACATTTGATCGCTTAAAAATAAAATAATAAATCTTCTTTTATAAAAGTATCGAACAGTTCCGATAATATTAACAATCTTTTCCCATAAATTATTGATTAAATAAATGTACTTATAACGTACAATTGTGTCTGAGTAACGTACACTTGGGTTAAATAATTTAGAGAGAGAGAGAGAGAGAGAGAGAGAGAGGGGGAGAGAGAGAGAGGTAAATGGGGTTTAACGTCCACTCGACACAAACTAGGTCATTTCGGGACTAACACATGGTTCAATTTTATTTCAATAATTCGCTTGTGCGTAGGGGTCTTTAGCAGTGGGGGGAAAACGGAGGACCTGGAGAAAACCCACGATTTACAGACGACTCTACTCCTTGTCACGTACAACCGGGAATCGAAACCACGCCAGTTGACGCAATGACAGACCTTATGATACAGCGCGCACGTGCTAACCATTCGGCTATCCAACTCCCTCCCCTCCATGCCTCTAGTGAAATTAGAACATAATTTGTACATTAAACATCTATTATGCAAGAGGCAAATCTGCCTATTGAAGATCTTTCCTCAGGCCTGAAATGTTGTATAAACTATTAGCTAGACATTTATTAACATGAAAGGACCAGATAGTCAACTCTCGATGCCATATTATGTGTGCGATTTTCATTGGATTTGAAGCCAATCTGTTGTTCAACGTACGCTGATGAGTAAACGTAAAAAAATGGATAATGGAGACTATATTAATTATCGTGACAGCGGTAACAATGACAATCGAGGCTACAGTGGTTTTTAAAATAAGGTTTCTACCTGAACTGAAATTTTGGACTGAAATCTTTGGCATTTTATTCCATTTACATCAACTAGTTCTTAACTATTATAGTTTGAACTGCCAGCGCTTTATCTAATCTTCCATAATGTATCTTAAATGGTCTACTAAGTAATGTTATAATCTACGACTGATTAAGCTTACCTTCTACGCTTCAGAACTAAAACGATAACAACAGTAGCGATGATAACCAAAACCACAATTGACACTACAACAGCTATTATTGTTGTGTAACTGCCAGTTTGTTTACCTAGAATCAAATAAATACATGATGGTTTGGTGGAATTTTAATATATACTGCCGTGCGACGAATTGGTGACGTGAGTAGAAGGTTGCGAAGCGTATAAGACTTTGTTGTCTGAGTGAAATCGCAGGAAAGCGATACAGAGACAAACACAATAAGATACTCAATGCTATATAAGATATTATTTAAATACTTTCTATACGATAACATTTTTCAAGCGCTCAGTTTTTATTGTTACACGCTAATCGTGTGTTAGTTATTAAAGTTACAGGTTAAAGGGAAACTTCTATCGAATAAGAAGTTATTTGCAATGAAACTCAAACCCAAAGCCTAATATTTATTGATGAATTTGTTTTGTGAAGATTACCCTTATACACCCGTCAGACTGGGGTGGCGTCCTTACTGCGACGCTACTGCGGCGGAAAATGGTCGAAGAGCGCGTCAAGATCGCCATAAGCGCGGTAAAAGCGTGGTGGAAACGCCAGATATTGTGCTGTGGTCTCCATGTCGTGAATGATCGCCGAGTCACGGCGTTTGTTTTAAGCATATCAAAAACAAACGCCAAGGTTCTGCGATCTAACCTGGAAGGTTGTAATGCCCCGATCCGACCGGGGTGGCGTCCGTACTGCGCTGCAGCGACCAGAAAATGCACAACGTCGCCGGCAAACGTGAACACAACGTGCGAAAATGTCCCAAAATATTACAAACTTGAAAAAAAAAATCGCGTTTTCACATCTTTCCACGGCAGATCGCAGAACCTTGGCGTTTGTTTTGAACATGCTCAAAACAAACGCCGTGACTCGGCGATCATTTGCGACCATCGAGACTACAGCGCGATATCTGGTGTTTCCACCACGCTTATGGTGATCTTGGCGTGCTCTTGGGCCATTTTCCGTCGCCGTAGCAGCGCAGTTATTGGAAACCTGAAAGTAAATCTGGTAATTATGAATGTCTGTCTTGTCCTTACAGATGTGGTATTACATAGTTTACTACATGATGATCCCCATCGGTCATCTTTACATTCTGTACAAGTGTTGGCATTATCCTGATTACAAACAGTACAATCATTATTACAGTTGATATGACACATGTTTCCAGTTTACCTTTAATATAAGATGTACATTTACCATCATCTCTATCACATCCACCATTACATTCTGTACTACAGCTTACATTACATCCTTCATCATATCTTCCCATAATACATTTACTACATCTACCATCAGATTTAGAACATTGATTGTTTAAACAACCATCACTACAGTTCTGTTGACAACTTCCACCATAAAAACCTGTTTTACAATCTCCAGTGCAAGCACCAGTTATAGGATCACATGTATTATTAAAACATGTATTGCATGGTTTACATGTAGAACTTGATGTACTGTAGTAACCAGTATTACATTGTACTGTTGGAACTGTAATATAGATGATATATATTATTAATACTTTATACTACATCTGTAATACAGATGAAATGTTTGCATCGTCAGAACAATCATATCATTTATTGTATATGTGTTGTATTTGATGCTCTGTATTCCTATATCTAAAATAAACACGTTGTTGTTATGTACGTGTTCATCGGGATTTTGCGGCGTGGTTTCCCCTTGCCAATGGTGCAGTGCAGGACGGAGGGTCTGGCAAGTACAGCTGTCTAGTCCTTCAGGTGGGACGGAAAACCGAGACTCCGTGTACACATTGGCATGCACGTAAAAGATCATTTGACAGTTGGAATTCGCATAAGAGTAGGTCTTGGCAAACTGTATGGCATAAGCCCGTCTTCATAAGCCCAGTCGGAGCAGAACAGTAAGATGTTCAACTCCATTTCATTTCATTTTATGTCTGTTATGTTTTATTTGCAGTACTGCAGTCTCCTTTATTTCAAGAAACTGTTGCTATGTATGTGTTGTTGGTGGCGTACTGTAAGATAACGTCGGTCTTGTTTTACGCGTTGCATTTGATATACTATATTACGGGTAACTATATATGTACATATAGTGTTATTGAAAAATATGATAAATCAATTTTCGCGTCAAATTTACTATTTCACTTATGTTCCTGTGTGATCAAGATTATACACATCAACAGGTGGCCGTCTTCACCAAATAAAATCATGTTGTAATGATTGACAGAATGATGGCTTAGCTCTGTTAGGAATAATATTATGGGGATCCTCGATTCACAGTCCAGAAGGTCCTGATTTGACAGAATTGCAATCGAGTAACGCGGAATTCAGTTCTGTCACAGTTCTGTCAGTCCCGACAACGGAGGTGGTGTGAGTAGAATCGTGGCGTAATTAAACACAACGAATATGTTTCAGCTGTCATGGTTGGTTGAGATGTGTTCTGATGCAATCGGCACATGCCGTCTAGCCCCAAATCCCCATCTTCACTCGATTGTCCCTATGCTTGGGTTTGACGGAATTCAATTCTGGAACGTTCAATCGAGCACCCCCTATATTAAAGGTCGACCCCTTTCACATTTACCACATTAACCAGGTAGGTAATTAGTCATGAGTCATGAGCATGTTTGTTGCTGATTCAAGTGCGAGATTTTAACCGGCAGATGATTATGTGGTTTTGATACATTAGACAATTTTGTCTTGACCCGCGGTTAGTATCTGCAAAACCGTTCCGTAACTGCATATATGGTTGCTTAAATCTTAAACACAATAAAAGTCCCATAAATTCTAAAGAGGATTTGTTGTAGCTCAAAATATTTAACGGTTTTCTTGGAATTCTTTCTTTCGCGATTTTTGGCTGTCGTTGTGTGGTTTTAGTGATTTTGATCTCCAGCAATGACTAAGTTCGAATTAAATTGCATATTGTGGTTATAACTGATACATATCCACACAATCGTGTAATCATGTATGTATATACTGTATAACGTACGTATGTGGTTGCCATACTGATTTGGAGACTTTTACTTAGCCACAAGCTATATTGCAAAATCAGTTCATTCAGCGTTCTATTTATTTAGAATATGTCACCATCAGTTAACGACCCATTGTGAATTGTAATTTTCTTATTCAGTTGTTTTTGAAAATCATTGCATTTGGCCAGTCTGATTTCATTGTGGATGAAATACAAGAAAGATTTCCTAGAATGTTTCGCCACTGCACCCCGGAAATATTTGACGCAACTTTACGACTAATCAGCATTCAAGACATTTCCCTTTTTGAACTACAATTTTATTAAATGCGAGTCTTACTGTGTTCACTTTGGAACACAAAATGACACAACATTGGTTTAATCTATATTCTTTATCATTTCAATGAAGATTTTCCGTCATCCTACAAGCCAAGTTAAGCTATAAATACAAATGCAACAGACCATTTTATTTTGTAGTCAGTACTTCAATTTATAGTTAGTTTATTGATACGGATATGATAAGACTATTAAATCTTCCAAATTATGCATTTTATTGTTCAAAGAAACGAATACTAGCGTTGGTAATCGTAAAGTAATAATTACGTCAGGTACCTGCAAATATTTCAACTTCACACAATGTTAAGGATTCCTTAAGGCTTGACACATAGACAGTTCTACCAGTAAATGATGTAGATGAACCTTGATTACATCCAGTTACATTATAAACAGACTGTATTGTTGGTGTTGTATCTTTATAACATGATGTAGCTGATGTAAATCCTGTTTGATTACACTGACCACTAGAACTTATCTTTATCTGAAATTCTTTTAATCGCCCCCACCCTGAAAATAAATCAAATAGAAAATCAACCATAAACTAGCATTACATTTTCAGCGATTGAATTCTTGCTATTTCCCTTCTCCATCTTTATTGTATTACACTTTTATAAGTATAATTATTTATCTCGTTGTGTATTTGGTTGTGCATAAATTGTTTTGTACTTGCATATATATCTATAATTAATCAATCTGATAAGAATACAGTTCTATATTTCGTTTCGTTTTTATATACTTTCGATGGCCTCTACAAGATGCGGATCTGACCAGTTGTAGTGGGAGGCGCGTCGGGGATCATACGAGCTGATTTTAACTGTATGAGGTCAGACATTTGATTAACCAACAAGCGTTGATGTTTCTTGTTGGATACCCACACGTCTGTGCATGATCGTACCTCAAGAACTCGCTGCAAAAGACCGTTTCATTGGCTAATCCCTCACATCAACCAGAACGAAGTTTATACAAGAACTCATCCAGATCCTAATGTAGTAAAGACAAGTAAACCGAAATTTTGAACCATAAAATACGAAACGAAATAGAATCAATGTTTTAATCAAGATTGATAATTAATGTATCTCGAATTGTATTGTATGGGACTGTATTCCATGTAAATCCAAAATCAATGTATTTCGCTGTGTGTTTTGTTTTTATTTTGTATATACATATGTAATCAATTAATCTCGTAGTATATTGTATTGCAGTTCATTGTATTACATGTATCTTCGTAATTAATGTAATGAATTGTATTGCATGTATATCTTTAATTAATATATCGCGCCGTGTATCGTATGGTATTGAAATGCATGTAAATCTATAATTATTATTAATGTATGTCGTCGTGTATTACATACAAAAACAACTATTGAACTAGTATGCATATCAATTGGTAATCATAGATATCTGGTTTGCAAACAAAACCCCCCAAAACCCCCCAAAACTCATTAGATGTCTTTTCCAGAATACTGAATTCACTAGTCTATGTCAAAACATGTAGACAATTAAACAATAGTATATACTTTCTTTAGGCATTTTTAACCTTTATTTTTTTCTATATATATATATATATATATTATTATCATAGGTCCCGCTACTTCATCCATATATGTAAGAAAACCATGCTAAGGAGTTGGTTGTTTAATTAACCGAAATAATATGATATACGTATGTATAGAGCTCTTCCGATTTAAAGAAACATAATTCGTACTTTTTGTTAATTCCCACTCGGACTACATCTCCATTTTGTATTCCGCAAACATATCTATCTATATCTATATTGATTATAAGTTTAAACATCTACTTACATGTCGTGTTCTTTCTGTTGTATATTTTAATTTGGTTGAAATAATACAACTGTTGTAAATCAACACACCACCAACCAGACTGTCCTTCTGTTGTATGAGTACATGATTTACCATTGTCATAGTCACTATCAGTATTACCATCCACAGCTCTAGAAGCGATACCACCATTGTTTGTAGAATTCTGTTGTACCGATTGTTGACCAAGAGCAACATTGGTGGGTTTAGCTGTTTATAAATGTATAACATATAATCCCTGATTAAATAGTTAAAATAATAATATATTGAAGGTTAAGGAACGATCAAACAGTATTTTCAGTAATCTCCCCTTGGTTGCGGGATGCCCTTTCTATTTCTTATTTCTGTGTCACTTTACATCAACTCCCCTATTCACATGATTACCAACACTCAGTACTGCCCCACACCCTTTCACAATAAATATTTAATAGAAACACACATTTAAAATAATCAGTGCTATGAATTATAATACTCCACCATAACCCCTCCAAAACGGATATATTATTCAATGTAATCGGCTAGTCCTAGATATAGGTATATTCAATAGTAGAGCAGTAGGTTAAATGTAATACATCTTAATTTTTCAGTAAAATCATCTATGTTTGAAATGTTTCTCTGTTAGTTTATTATTTCTTACCAGAAAATATCTGAACTTCACATAAAGTAAGTGGTTGACTTGAAACATTGACATATAGTGTTCTAGCAGATACACTAGTTGATGTAGTTTGATTACATATATCTATTGTATATATATCTTGTGTTGTTGTTGTTGTATCTATATAACATGATGTAGCTGATCTAAATCCTGTTTGATTACATGTACCACTAGAACTTGTCTTTATCTCAAATCCCTGTAATCTATTTTCATCTAGAAAATATAACATTATACGATCAGTTAATCACTTTGGATTTGCTTACTACAAACTGGTTATATTTACGGAGGATGTCAGACAACAAACTGTTGGCTAGGCGAGTATCTCAAACTATTTGAAATGTATAACCTTGGACCAATCGTGATACCGGGTGTTCTAGACATGACGAGACTATGCATATCCGTATCCGCGACCTTGATTGAAGTGTAGAAATGGTGTCAAGGATCCCCCAGCAGAATCACCAGACAATTTGCAACAGGTTAGTGTACATTTATAATTAGATATACTAAATATCTTTACATTTTTGGGGTTTTAAAGATACCTTCCCGCGTACAAACTTCGTGATTAGATGATATATGTGGTCTGATACATATTTAAACTAATATATCTATCACATTTTATTTGTAACAACTTTGTTTATCACGTGGCAAAATCTATTTTAAGCGTGTTTTTATCTCTAGTCTCTGTCCATTTACCGTAAATATTGAAGCCAGGGTAAATTCATCTGAAAACTCTCTTTTCGGTCGTTTAATCACATAGTCTAATGGACGTTTAATTCTCTTGAGCAATCAGACCATATTAAGAGAGCATCCTACGGTTCTCGTGGACAGTCTGCCCGCTAGGTATACGAGCACATCTTTGTCTTTGTCATATCATACTTGAACATGAATAACCGACAACTATCTTTAAATCTTACATTCTATATAACTCGATTTCTGTTTCATTTAGCACTGGTGGGGATTTAGTTGAAACAAAGACATCCACTGTTAAAATTATTATGTATTTTTACCCTTTTTTAACTGTGTTTTAACATTGCATGTTATTTCACAGTCTGTAAAGTAACTTTACCTCTAGCTATTATACACCCAAGGTAAAATTACATATCTGTAAATGGAGTACATGTAAAATTATCATGATGTTAATTTACATAAATTGCTACAATAACATTTAAAAAATAAAACATGTGTATTTTGCCAGAGTTATGTGATAATACCTCATAACTATTGTAGAATTAAATTTGCCAAAGTAACATTACTAAAAGGGGTGTGTTTGTCTCCGCTTGGCTAATTAGTCCTATAGGTTCGATTCTGGCGAACACAGAAAGTTTTGTGGACCTTTCGGCCGAGCATGTAAAACACATTCGATAATGCAAAGAAACTAAACGAAATGGGGTATAATGTGCTACTGGTCTGCTCCTTACAATGGAAACAGTAGGTGGCACGACACCGTCCAAGCAAAATGTCGCACACAACCCAATGTATGGCATATGTCTGTCAATGTATGGCATATGTCTGCCAGTTCGGTGCATTCAAATTTTGAATAATCGATGTCTCTAAACATTAAAGTAAGATGACATTAAATTTACAATTTTCTGTAAAAATAATATTTCAAATGCCATTTCTATTAATATACTGCTCACATAATGTAAACTGCCATATGGTTGTATTTCTACATTATGTTTGATGTAATCTTACTTTAAGCCTTGTATTGGTATGCATTTACATGTTTTAAATGTAAATTAACAAACCATGTGATTTGACAAATCCGGCGCTGTATTTTTACTATACTTGTTACCGTAAATATACATATAATTTTAAAAGTTTCCGTACAAACTATAATATTTCTACTTTGTTTAAAACCACAATTTCTTTCTGGTATATGCGAAGTTTTTAACCTGTATATCAAATTTATGTGATATCCACCCAGTCTCCCCAACCACATTATGCCCACAACATCGAGCAGAAATAACCATGTAAAATATACAAGAGGCCAATGAGGACTAAAACCAGGTTTAGATATACATTTTTCAAAAGAAAATGAAGAAGAAGAAGAAGAAATACTTACATCCTACTCTGTTAAATAGTTTTATGTTGTCGATATCATAAATCTGTTGTAGATCTACACACCACCATTCATTACCAGTATTGTTTGTATGTGAACAGTGACCATTCTCCCATTTATTATCAGTATTACCATCTACAGCATTACTTGACTTTGAATTATAATATCTGGAACTCTGCCTTGTTGGTTTGCCAAGAGCAATGTTTGTACCTGTAAAGTACACCATATAATAAATACAACATGTAAATACAACATATAGATAACATATAATTCTGTTTTTAATAGACTTTTTAACAGAATGAGTTCAATATGTTCAGTATGCTTACTACGGTAAATTTTCTGTGTATTTCTGAACCATGTTTACAAAGACAGTTGTATTGTCGATTACGCTAGGACGAAATGTATCATGGGCGAGTCTAGCATAAAGGTAATTTTATGGTCCTATTACAAATGCGACTTCGGCATTAATTTCTAATATAGTCACCCTATAATCCTGAAGCTAGTATGTTTAAATTATTCGATACAATAAAACAAGTATTACCTGTACAAACACCACATGACTTCATACAGTTCTCTCTATAAAACTCATCTATAGGATATACAGTATTACCACATGATTGACAGTTAGTGTTGATTGTATCTCTACATTCATCTAATGCTGTAAATAAATATAGCGTAAGAAATACAAAATATATGTTTTCAAAAATGTACACACGTACTAGCAGAATAATGTCGGTTTTACTAATGCTGTAAAAAGAGAATAGTGTTAATAACCTAGTAACACATGTACACTAGCCGAATAGTGTAGATTTTACGCTAAGATGGCAGCTTGAAGCTTGGATCATAATGTCTCTCATCGATGCGGGTGCTGTGGTTCCAATCACAGACTTGTGCGTACTATAACATGTTAATGATTACTACTTACCGAAACTATAATGTATAATTCTCTAGGGGGGTTGGATGGCTGAATGGTTAGCGTGCGCGCGCTGTATCATAAAGTCTGTCATTGAGTCGACTGGCTTGGTTTCGAATCCCCGGTTGTACGTGACAAGGAGTAGGGTCGCCTGTCCAACCTCGTGGGTTTTCTCCGGGTCCTCCGGTTTCCTCCCACTGCTAAAGACCCCTATGCACAAGCGAATTATTGAAATAAAATTAAAACCATATGTTAGTCCTGAAATGACCTAGTTTGTGTCGAGTGGACGTTAAACCCCATCTCTCTCTCTCTCTCTCTCTCTATATATATATATATATATATAAATACTATAGCAATGATAATGCTTACCACATACCTAAATTAGAATTTATAATTCTACAAAAATACTACATGTTAATCATTACTACTTACCTAAACAATAATCTATTAAAGATGATATCATTATCATAGCTACTGCTGAAAGCTGATTGAATTTCATTTTAGTTCGCATTCATCAGTCCTAAAGAACAAAATTATTTAGTTTTCATTTTTAACTACGGTTTCCCCAAAAGATAAAAGACCACTATATATCACATATATCAATATTATATTTTAAAAATGTGATTTTCGCTGATATAAATTCTGATAAAAAATAATTTAATACAAGAACTGGCTATAATAACAATCGGGATAGTCCTCAATGACTTCATAAATATTATGGACAGATTGATTAAATAAAATTCTTTTAATATGAAGGAGAAAATAAAAAAAAGGTAAAAACATAACAATTTTCTTATAAATAATAACACGTCACTTTAAAACAACCCAACAAAACACGGTGTTAAATTCGCTGTGGTGACGAGAAAGGGCGGGTTATCTTCTTCCTTCGTCATGGTAAAGTTAAACCAGAAGGTATAGCTTATTGCTACCCTGAAAAAATAGAATCCACTTGCTTTGTAGAAAAACGAGGTTCTCGCAATAAAAACCACATTGCTGGGCTTGTGGGTTATTTAAATATTTCAATTAAACAATGATTGTTATTAACATCTTTCGAGACCACGGTGGCTAGATGAATAAGACGCTGGCTCACTAGCCTGGAGGTCGGGTGTTCGATCCCTGCATTGGCCGAGAAAGTTCATGCAGGACGGATGGGACTTTGGCGTGCACGTAAAAGATCCCTTGACAGTTGGAATTCGATATAAGAGTAGCTCGTAGCACCTACAGTATGGCGTATGCCGGTCTTCAATAGCCCAGTACATGTTATACTTTAGAAGGCGGTTATATTGACATTTTTCATATTTATTGTATCTAGAAGGCGGTTGTATTGACATTTTTTTCATTTCTATTGTATGATATGCTTGGGTCACATAAACATATATGTCTATACCTTATCACCCCACTGGTTTACACGAGTAACATGAATGTAATCACCAGACCTAATATTCTCGTTAATGTGTTGCGTGTGAAAATATAAATGAAATGAAATGAAATGAAATGGGGTTTAACGTTCTACTGTTCTGCTCCTAAACTGGGCTAATAAAGACGGGCAGTGCACTACGGCCTACTCTTATATCGAATTCAAACTGCCAAGGGATCTTTTACGTGCACGCAAATGTGTACACGGGACGTCGGTTTTTCCTTCGTCCCATCCGAACGTCTAGACAGCTGTCCTTGTCAGGCCCTCCGTCCTGCATCACTGACAAGGGGAAACCACGCCAATGCAGGGGTCGAACACCCGACCTACAGGCTAGCGAGCCAGCGTCTTACCCACTTAGACACTATGGTTATAACCTCGTTGAGAGGGAGGGGGAGAAATGGGGTTTAACGTCCACTCGACACAAACTAGGTCATTTCGGGACTAACACATGGTTCAATTTTATTTCAATAATTAGCTTGCCCGTAGGGGTCTTTAGCAGTGGGAGGAAACCGGAGGACCCGGAGAAAACCCACGATGTTGGACAGGCGACCCTACTCCTTGTCACGCACAACGGGGAATCGAAACCCCACCAGTTGCCTCAATGACACCTCCTCGTTGAAGACATTTATAGCAATCATTAATAGATATATAGACGATACTTCACTGTGCTTATTGTATGTGACATTTTTTATATAATACATATAATATATTATATGTATAAAATCAACAATATATATCTGTTCAGTGTAGATATTTATATATACATGTATGCATTCGACTTTTATTGTACATATCAATTCAACCTATCGCTAGACCTGCTGTGTGCCTATGACCTTTCAAGGCCGTAACTTCATGTGGCATAGAAGTTGCCATGAGGAATCTGGAGATATTCATTACCATGGAATAGTTAAGGGGGAGACAAGGGGCCAGATTTTAACCATCTTGAAGTAGCGAAGTCTTTAACCGAATATCATCCAAAGTCTTCCAGATTGAAAACACGAATTATTTATCAATTGAAATCAACATTGATCATTGATGTTGTGATCTTACCGGGAAAAGATAGGCTTATGATATCCAGTATTTAAAACAGACTAAACATTTTACCATTGGTACACGAATCGTGCACCATAATTGGTTTCAGCACCATTTGTAACAAGGATCTCGATGAACGAGGCTAGACATATTCCACAAGTCATGTCAAACGGTGACGCCATATTCTTATCTGGCGGGCATGGAGAATAAATACTTTCTGTGAAGACTGGAATAACCAGACGCTAGAGGTTGCCATTCGATTGAGACTTCGCCGAACATAACTGATTTAAGTGTAAAAACGGAAACGATCGAATGTAAAAAAGTTTATATACACGCATATTACTTTATTATATGCGTTGCAACCAATTTATGTCAATTTCTAGGTCTCACATATTAGCTCCTATAACGATTTTAGTGTTATTTCGAAATTAGGAGATAATAACATACATTAAGATGGCAAGATAGTTTATTGGTCGTTAATAATTAATAAACAAGATCAAATCAGTAACATTATTTGTATTTTAGGGTCTGCTTGAAATAAACTATTGAAGGAAAACGAAACTTAAATAGACTTATAAATAAAGCTATAGTCAAGCAAGTCATTATAATTATGTATACATATAGAGGTGCATCAGTTTAAAGAAGCTAAATCTCCATTATTTGGTAACTAGAAAATGACACAAATGGGTCGCAGTATAATAATGTAGTATGAAAATTGTTTATGTTTTTACTGTAAATTCTAATCAGTTATGTTCGGCGAAATAAACGAAGAGTCCAAATCGAATGGTACTCTTTGGCGTCTGGGTATTCCAGTCTACACCGGTAGTATTCTGCTGCGTGAAATGTTTAGCCTTCATTACAAATGGCGCCCAAAAGCATTTTGGCACGCGATTCGTGTGCCAATTTTCAAATTTCAATTTTGTTTTAAATAGAAGATATCAGAAGCCCATCTTTTCACGGTAAGATAACAACCTTAATGTTGATTCAAATTGGCCAATAAGTCGTGTTTGCAATGTCCAAGACTGTGGATGATAATGAGTTAGCGACTTGCCCCCTCACGTGAATAATTATGACACTGCTGATATAGGGGCATTATTATATTACTCTATGTTATATATGTCAATATTCAATAATAGATGTTAATTATACAAGTTATCTGTCCATATTCTGGATAGGCGAATTATTCGGCATCCTCTGCAAACGATATATATACTCTTCAATAAAAGAAACGGGTGGTGACATTTCGTCGTTGGTATAACCTCGCTCTACCATCGCCGCGTTGCAACAGGAACTGTGACGCGTCGCTGAACCAAACTGTTCTCTAGCGTTGCTGTAGCCATACCCTGTATGTCTGAACCCACTAAAGTCGGATTTGACAATGATGGCGTATTTCAAAACAGCAGCTTTAACGGGTCGTCTGGCTCGTAATCCGGTTTCATGTAGGCGTTTACGGACTATCTGGTCTGAGATACTACGTCGTGCATGAATTGCTGCTGCAGTAGAGGTAGCTGTTGTAAACCGTTTCCGTAAATGACGTAACCGTATTTGACGATCCAGGGCAGGCGAGGCACGCTTGTTTGGCCTGAGCTTGGGCTGTCAGGTGTTGAACTTCGCTGTCGGTACCTATCCGCGGAGAGATGATACTCTGGGAAACATTCAGCAACCTGGTTACATCTGTACGCGATTCACCTGCTTGTAAGCGACCGATAGCGTTGTTACGTTGGTCTCCGTTGAGTGTTTACATGTGCGACTGATTTTGAAACTGAGAACCCCGGGATTTTAAAGGCCTTAGATTTAGGTTTGTGCAATCAAGCGAAAACACATTTCGGCAAAATGTATGACCAGTCACGGTGACCCTAGATGTAAACCCAATTATGAATTTCTTTTATCCTTACATAATGACATTAAAAACCAGTAAGATTTATGGAAACAACGATCTCATTCAAATAATAAATGATGATAAATGGGCTATGCGTTTCATTTTTTGAGGAGTATAGATATTAGTTATAGAAGTTACCAACGGTCGTAGTTATCTATGTCAATATTCAATAAATATCAAAGTTACCAACGCTCGTAGTTATCTATCTCAATATTTAATAATACATGTTAAATATCCAACTTACCAACGCTCGTAGTGAACTTTGTCAATTTTCAATATAGATATTTGTTGAACTAAACCACACCTGTACAGGTTTGACGCTCGCCTGAAATAAAATCAACCCCCGTATTTGTAACAAGAAAGAATATTATAAGGCGGATATAAATAACTTTTATGTGCAACGATTTCGGCAGATCATTTGGATTATTATATGCCTGGCCTCGCATGATGAAAGAACATATCTATTTTATTTAAATCGAACAATTGAAACTTTCAACCATAGCAGTCGTCTTACTGTGAAACAACAAATTTGAATGGCGTGTAACTTTTAATATAAAGCAAAGGAATTTGTGTAGCTATATACAATTGATTATTTTAAAAACGTTTTGTCCTTTTCTCAAGTTATTTACTATCCTGCAAACCTTGTAATATAATACTAATGATTATATTATAACAGTGCGAAAGTTTACGAAATGCATTTCTTTATTTATATTCAGAATGTGTGTTCATTACCAAGGCCATAATGTGGGTTTAAAAGTATGACCAATGTGTGAACGACAAAGAACAACCCCGCCCTTCTTGTTGCACCTATATTATATTGGCCAATCTGCTCATAGAGGCTAAATGTGGTGAGGTTTAGTCCTGCCAGCGGTGGAAAATAAAATGATTGAGTAATGATTCAAAAGCATTACATTTTATTAAATATTCGGATATGGGAAGATGCAAAGCAAACCCAGGAGTCCCGTCTGCCAGACCATACCAGTGTTTCCACATGACCGGGGAAAAAAGCAAAGGACACTATCCTTGCTGATGAACGCTTATCACAGTAGCAGGTGATAATATCTGCTACTAGTGGAGCTCAGCTGTAAAAGGGAAGATAAACAGACACGGTCTCGGATTACAAGGCATAGCCGAGACTAGCCGATAACCATCTTTCGAAGTATCTTTTTAAATAACAGCATAATCACCATATTTAGACTTTAACTCGTAAAGCGAGATTGGAATACCATTGAGCTAATATCTCTCATTTTATGTTGGATTAGATAGAAATATATGATGAGAGGAGACCTAAAATAAATGACCTAAGAACGCGGTATTCACAATACTCTCATAAGCCTAACTGATGAAAGTCTCAGAATAAGGAGGTTGGGTGCGAATACCAAAAGATTGAATAGGTTTAGGTTGGAGCAGATATAATTGCTCATTACAGTCAATATTATGTGTTTCAGTAATGTGGACTAAAATTCCTTCTGGGGCACCTCCAGAATTAATGGTTGTCTCCATATTACAACCCTCTGACACTAAACCCCGGCCTGATAAATATAAAACTATTTATATCCTCTTGTGTTGCAATCTTAATAAAGCATATTATGTAGATATCGTGAATAAAGAATCATTTATTAATGGCCTAAATTCATTGCAAACGCGTTGTTTATTTCAACCCTTTTATCAACCACCAATTAAATATGGAAATATAGAGGAAACTTCGTACGATTTTACATGCAGTGCCTGTCTACTCCTTTCAGTAAGCTGGACTGGAAATGTTTGGTGTGCCTTACTTATCAGCCCCACCTTTCCATTGGCCCAGAGGAGAATGTAACGTGGAAAATCTCTTTCAATATTTAACTGTCACAAAGTGAGTGAGATAATAAAATAACTGGTATGAATCCGATTCAGGGGCAACTATCTCGTCTTAAAACGATTTTTTAACAATCTTTTAGAAATGAAATGAAAAGAAATGGGGTTTAAAGTCCTACTGTTCTGTTCCTAAACTGGGCTAATTAAGACGGGCATGCGCCATACAGTGTGCAATGAGGGAAATTTTGACCGGGCAGCGGCACTATAACCTACTCTTTTATCGAATTCCGGGGGGTTGGATGGCTGAATGGTTAGCGTGCGCGCGCTGTATCATAAAGTCTGTCATTGAGTCGACTGGCGTGGTTTCGAATCCCCGGTTGTACGTGACAAGGAGTAGGGTCGCCTGTCCAACCTCGTGGTTTTTCTCCCGGTCCACCAGTTTCCTCCCACTGCTAAAGACCCCTACGCGCAAGCGAATTATTGAAATAAAATTAAACCATATGCTAGTCCCGAAATGACCTAGTTTCTGTCGAGTGGCCGGTTTCCTCCTACTGCTAAAGACCCCTACGCGCAAGCGAATTATTGAAATAAAATTAAACCATATGCTAGTCCCGAAATGACCTAGTTTCTGTCGAGTGGCCGGTTTCCTCCTACTGCTAAAGACCCCTACGCGCAAGCGAATTATTGAAATAAAATTAAACCATATGTTAGTCCCGAAATGACCTAGTTTCTGTCGAGTGGCCGGTTTCCTCCTACTGCTAAAGACCCCTACGCGCAAGCGAATTATTGAAATAAAATTAAACCATATGTTAGTCCCGAAATGACCTAGTTTCTGTCGAGTGGACGTTAAACCCCATTTCTCTCTCTCTTTATATCGAATTCCAACTGCCAAGGGATCATTTACGTGCACGCGAATGTGTACAGGGTACCTCGGTCTTTCGTCCCATCGGAACGACTAGATAGCTGTCCTTGTCAGGCCCTCCGTCCTGCATCACTGACAAGGGGAAACCACGCTTGAAAATCTGGATGCACTTTCTCGGTCAATGCAGGGATCGAACACCCGACCTCCAGGCTAACGAGCCAGCGTCTTACCCACTTAGCCACGTGATCCCCCAATCTTTTAGAGGCATTTAGTAACTGGGTAGAATAATAAACTATAAAACATACGTCGCCTTAATAAACCAGTATTTATTCTTCTATAAGTATGTCTTATAGTTTATCGAATTTTTAACAGTATTAATGATATTATAAGGACACAAATAAAATGAAATGAATGTGGTTTTACGTCCTACTGTTCTGATCCTAATGTACTAATGAAGGCGGCAATATGCCTTGCTATGACCTACTGATCTTATTTCGAATAGCAACTGTCATCGGTACTTTTACATTTTCTGCCAGGTTATGATGAATATTCATGATTTTGGGACAGAAGGATAAGAGAGTAATGCCCCCGTTAGACCGGAATGGCGTCTTTACTGCGCTGCTGCGACCGTACAGCAACCAGAAAATACACAAGGTCGCCTATAAACGTTGATCACAGCTCGAGAAATGAAATGAAATGAAATGAAATGAAATGGGATTTAACGTACTACTGCACAACGCGAGAAAAATCCCCAAAAATTACAAACCTGAAAAAAGCCGCGTTCTCACAGCTTTCCAGGTCAGATCGCAGAACCTTGGCTTTTGTTTTGAACATGCTCAAAACAAACGCGATGACTCGGCGATCGTTGGCGACCATTGAGACCACAGCACGATATCTGGCGTTTCTACCACGCCATAGCAGCGCAACAAGGACGCCACCTCGGTCTGACATGGGTATTAGAAGGTTTGTTGCGCTGAAATTAGAACGGACAGTTGCATGTATCTTAAGATTCCAGTGGTGAACCTCATGCTTGCTTTTGTGCAAGCTGTTGCCACATGTACTTAGTTTCCATCTGTGGGAGAAAGCATTTAACCTCACGAACATTTGGGAAAGGATTTGAGTCTTGCAAAGAGATCAGAATTAACATTACAGTCAATGAGGAAATTCATAAGCTGTGTCCATAAATACTGATATCGAATCGCCTCAATAAGAGTTATTTGCCCCTCAGTCGGATTCAGGCCAGCTGTTTCATAATGTCACGCAGTTTAATATTGAAAGAGATTTTCTACGTTACCGGCGCTTGTGGTTTACAGAACACAAATACAAATTTTCACGCCCGATGTCAAGTAAAGTGGAGTCAGGTAAAATATTAGAAAAATAGAGATTCCAGTATCTTTACTTATGTTGGCCATATTCTATGCTATTCTAAAGACTGAACTTGATAGAAAATATCAACGACGATATTTTTTAAATGTATCACCCACCTGGAAGTTACTACTTAAGCTAAAGGAAGCATATACATATCTTGAACTTCAGAAGCCGATGCTCATTTAGCACTGAAGACGAATGTTTATTGTGATGTTTATGGTCATTACTAAGAATTACTCCCTGTATCTGTGAATGACGTTACAGCTTAAATTGACATTAGTTTCGGGAGGGAAAAGAATCAAATGTCTAAGAACATTCAATAGTCTGACACTGAAGTTAAGTTTTTGGCAAAACAAAAGTCCATTGCTTATAAGTCAAGTGTTTGTAAATATAACCAGTGTATTTCCTATCTTCATAGGAACTAGCCAAGAACATTGGTGGTTATATTATGGTATTCTTATATCTGTAAATGTCAGGGAAACATTCAGGGACGCTGTTGAAAGTTGGAGATGTGAGGTTCGTCTTTTGTCGAACAGCTTAATTTATTGTGAAACGAGTAGAGGAATGCTATTATATATATGGTATATGTTGCATTTTATCATGGATTTTTGTATTAAGGGTTTTACAGAGAGCCATAAACATCCAAGTGAACTGTAAGTTTGTCCAGAGTCATGTCTTAATTTATACAACGTGACACGATTACTGGTCAGTTTATTTATTCACGCAACGTGTGATCGGAATATAGAAGACCAAGACCATTTGATGTTCCCCAAAAAGTCAAAGAAAACGAAAATCAAAACTAGACGACCATGGCTCTGATGGCTTGAAATATCGCCATCCCTAGAATGTGATCTGGAATCATACAACACATTCTAGTCGGTAATATTCTATTCGAATTGTGGCACAAGGCGACTATTAATTCCTCGTACACATCAATGTTAGTTCCATGTCTGGACCTGTAACTCTTTCTTAACACCGAGTTGAAATTAATAAGCAAAGCACCCAGCTCATCACAAACGCAGCACGACACAATTACCTGATCAAATCTGTAACTGCCTGTTTTTGTCTCTTTTACCTCTTAAATCCGCATAAATATTCAAACATTTTTCATCTATTCTAGAATAGGCTGGAAGGAGACTCTCCAGCCTGGCGAAAAATCTGAAACCAACGATTTTTGCTTTTATCCAAGGAGGTATGTACATAGTACCACAAGAAGAAAATCCATTACAGTCTACCTTGGGCAATTTTTTTGTAGACAATTTAGTTTTGGTATCCGACCCCAAAATGAATGATCATTGTTTAAGTTGTCCTC